TTCTTATTTGTTCTTGTATATATTTATGTAATTTTTAATTACATTTTATTAGTATAAAGTATCCAAGTTTAGAGGATTTGGACGAACCTCTGGTGGCTGGTTTTCATCCACTTATTAGTCACTGATTACTTCACAAACATTTTTAGTATTGATTTAAAACACTACTGTTATAATTACGTAATTTAAATAGGTAATTGTGGAGTTTACGATTTTATGGAATTATTTTTTTACGGATCCAATGTTTACTAGANTATCCAAGTTTAGAGGATTTGGACGAACCTCTGGTGGCTGGTTTTCATCCACTTATTAGTCACTGATTACTTCACAAACATTTTTAGTATTGATTTAAAACACTACTGTTATAATTACGTAATTTAAATAGGTAATTGTGGAGTTTACGATTTTATGGAATTATTTTTTTACGGATCCAATGTTTACTAGACAGCAACGCGCGTCTACCTCTTAGACCTTTTAGACTAGGTTATCGTTAATGTACCAAAACGTTGTATGAGTTACTTGGGTGCTTTGGTAATAATGGATGGATGAAATATGATTTAAGGTGCGGTTCGGATGTTGGCTTTTTCTCACAAGTATCAGTGTCTCTATAACGTAGGATAGTAGAAAGTTATTCTATATTGGTAAATGCGGTAGCATTATCCTTAAATCAAAATGCTCTTCATTTTGATCTATATTCATCATACTTTTGGCGCTACAAAAGAAATGTTATCAGGCCAAGGCTTATCTGATAAACTTAAATTTAATTTTATATCATTACATTAATAAGAGTGAACATTAAGAATTTAAATCTATTTATTATAGTTAATTTCCATATTGAGAACTAGGTCCTTGGATCTTTATAGTCTAGTGATATATTAGTCTTATATCAGAATAATATACGATCCTGGTCTCTTCACATCATTATTCCGCTTTCATATTATTTAATGTAAATTCTGATTGATAATTCTCTAACACCTGTCTTATATACGATAGGATATATGTTCTCGCATAAGTAGGTAACACTGTGCCTGTAATTAGTAAAACATATATGTAAACAACAAAAACCAAACAACATTAATGTTGTATCTATAGGCTCATGTGCGTCTAAACTAACTGCATCGTAGCTTTCTCTATCTTTATCTTTTTCAGAATTTCTGTTAATGAAACACTTGTCTGGAAGAGATCGCATTTAGCGATAGGACCGCCTATTGTACGTTTTTCTTTCTATGTCGTATTTTAGTATTTTAAAGTATATTCTCTCTCTCTCTCTCTCTCTTTCTTTCTTTTTCACCTCTCCTTTTCACAGGATTCAATAGTATTTTAAACTTTTGCCTTACCTCAGTAGTTTTAAGTGAATACCCAGTAAGTAATGCAAGTATTAAATTAAAAGATAACAAATTCTAACTTTAATTTTGTACATACTGCTTCTTCATTCTTAAGGAATGTTTCCAAGTTTGTCAGTTGGGTGACAATCTTAATGTTTGAACTTAAAGGGACTCAAATTGAATTCCTTTGACCGTCCTTCAACTAAACACAGTGCACTTACAAACGACGAATAAATTTAAATTTAAAATATGTTGATTTTTTAAATTTTCGTATTATTATAATATTCGGCCTATTTTCGAAATTATTTATAAATATATGTATTAATAAGAAATTACAAAACGAAGGTAGCCAAATTTAAAATAATTAAATACCATTTTCTCTTTGGTTTTTGGTTTGTTGGTCTCTTTATTTATTAGCACTTGCCTATTTATAACCTTAGTGCTAACAACATTATTTTTTGAAAATAGTCTCATTATTAACACGTCAATCATAATAGAAATACATTTAGGTTAAAAACTAAAAACGTACGTATAAAACTTCTGAAGTCGTCGTGGCCTAAAGGATAAAACATCCGGTGCATTCATATCTACCGATGCAATGGTGTTCGAATCTCGCAGGCGGGTACCAATTTTTCTAATGAAATACGTATTCAATCAATGTTCACGATTGATTTCCACGGTGAAGGAATAGCATCGTGTAATAAAAATCAAACCCGAAAAATTATAATTTGCGTAATTACTGGTGTTAGGACCTCTTGTGTGTCCGCACGAGTAGGTACCACAAACCTGCCTATTTCTGCTGTGAAAAAAAAACAATATGGAAAATCGAACTAACAATTAATTTCATCTTTTTTTATCCTGTTAATACTTGTTACGATTTTAGAACAACATTATAAAAGTTGCAAATAGTATACAGTGACTTTCGCTGGTGGTAGTTTCGATCTTAAGCTAAATGCATTTCGAGATTAAGTATGTAAGGCCGCAAACCGTTGATCTATACTTTTTTTTTTATTGGTTAGATAGGTGGACGAGCTCACAGCCCACCTTGTGTTAAGTGGTTACTGGAGCCCATAGACATCTACAACGTAAATGCGCCACCCATCTAAGAACTTATATCTCATATAAGTTCTTAGGTCTCAGTATAGTTACAACGGCTACCCCACCCTTCAAACTGAAACGCATTACTACTTCACGGCAGAAATAGGCGGGGTAGTGGTACCTACCCGTGCGGACTCACAAGAGGTCCTACCATCAGTAAAACATTATTATAGTTATACATATTTGAAAAGCATATGCCGCATTTGCAGTTCCCTGTTTTTGTTTGAAGTCGGCCAATAAGTCAGACAGCAAGTCATGTGTTTCAATCGAACGTGTGTCCCGCGCGGGCTATAGGTGGATTGCAGCACGCAGTTTCTTGTTTAATAAAGAGGCTATAATGCGCAACGATCGCTCGTGATGTCCGCCATTGTCCACTGCACCCGCCCCTGAGCTATTTAATTAAACTACAAGGCTAAATGACGAGACTGCCTTTGATACTCCACGATCTTGTGATATTAGAATTTTGATGTTTAATTCAATAGATTAGGATCTTCGAGGACTGCGTTTTTTTTTTTTTAAACATTTCAAAGCGATGCGTGGTTCATTTATTTAGTTATGACGTTCAAACAGCTATGTCAATCATCTATATATTAATACGTGAAGCAAAAACTTTGTATCCCTTTTTATGAAAATTGCGTGGACCGAGGAGTATCAAATTTCCCAAACTTATAGAGAATACAGTATAGAGAAGAAGTGCAAAAAGCTAATTTTTTTTTAAATTATACGTAAAATATACATTAAATCAATAAAAAAACTTTACACACATTACCATGTATTTGACACACACGCACGCATGCATACTATTTGTTTATTGTCAAACTTTTCTTATTGCTTATAGTCTGTGGTCAAATTGAGAATAGATTAAATATTGACTTTTTGGCGGGAACGCGAGGAGTGAAGTTGTGTGATTTGTTTTATTTTGTCTATTTAGTGTTTCTTCAGGTTTAAATGTGTAATAATGGTGGTTTATTAACTTTTTAATATCTGTGAAAGTGCACAAATGTGGGAAAATGAAACAAAGCTGCTGGACGTAACTTCTCGGGTTCCTCCAAACAGTCCACTGAAAAAATCTCAGTAAATGACCACCATTTTACTGCGATTATATTTCATCCCATATCATTTCATTTCATTAAATTTCATCCCAGTTGATTAATGTCTCAAATTAATCATCTTCATTTCATTTCACTCCATATTATCATTTTTCATAAAATTAAGAATATAAAGTAAAATAAGACATGACTTAAAGGTCCTAGTTACCAGGTCATAAAATCTCTTTAAAAAGATTAAATATTGTTTGTCTTTATATCTGTCTAAAGTGTAGTCTTGGCGAAATCTGTTAATCTTTGACAATAGAATAATCATAATAGTGTACAAACTTATAATTTCCATTAATTATAGTCGAATTTCGACTACTGGGCGACCGCTAGTGTCAAAAAAAGCTCTAAAATTTTTTTAAACAGCAATGCAGGTTATTTCGAACCCGAAAATTCATTTTAGAGATTTAGCTTTAGTTAGCTGTTATCCCGTCGTAGTTGTTAACGTAATCACGTAATTTCATGCTACACGTTATTAATGAAACTAATTAATTAAAGTCAACACGGCTAACTACACCTATGGTCGTATAAGCGAAACCGTTTTGAGCCGAGACGCCGTTAAATTAAGAATATGGTTTTAGATATAAACAGTCGTTTTTGTGAAAGTGGCTTATCAGGTAAACCTAGTTTTAATAGACGCATCGATTGATCTGGCAATTATTTGGTTCGGAAGACTCATATAATTTTTTCTGAGTAAACACTTTCTTAATAAGTTGACGTGAAAAGAAAAACATCGTATAGGTGTATTGTAAGCTGGTAGTGCATTGTAATTGTGGCGTTTATGAACGCACATTTTTATGATGCGTAAGCCGGAACGCACGAGATGTGGAAAAAAGAATATAGTCTGTGACACGGGACCTTTTTTACCGCCGAAAATTTAAAACGTAAAAATAATTTATAATGTGTTTAATAGGTAACTAATATAATATAATAACCTAGAATTGGGGGAAACGTCGAAAGAGCGGGAGTTTTTTTTACAATTTAAATTTTGAAAATATCTTTTAAAGATCAGATAGGTGTAAAGTAGTGTAAATATTTGTTATTTTAGTTCTTTTTAGTTTATATTTTATAGTTAGTGTAAATATTTCTTCGTAGGGTAAGTTTTTATTTATTTATTTATATTGTTTTCCCCATGGGGGACGAANAATTAAACACTAAAAACATTTAAACATTGTGAATCTATTCACCTAAAAATAGAAAAATCGACAATTAAAGGTTTTTTACTTCCAATATTTCATAAATCACTTCACGGTTAAGATCAAATTCTCTATCTGAGTGTGTCAGTGCCAATGTCATTCTTATATATCATCTTACTCTATGGCCACGTACACAACATGCAGTTTACAAGCTTACACATATAAAAACATATATAAACAAATATTATCAAAAAAATGGTTATTTTAATATTACAAAAAGACACTCCAATTTTATTTATATGTATAGATTTAACGTTACAAGTTACAAATATACTGTTGTGTTCACACAGACGGCGTGCGATTACTGGTCACTGGGTGTAGTTGCATTCGAATTGGTGACTCTGAGAAGACCGTTCTCTTCGGACGACGAAGATTCCGTGATGGACGTTCTCAATAACATACAAAAGTAAGTTTTTGTTTTGACGCCACTGCGCGTTATACGCGTATATACGTGTTTAATTGTTCATAGTTTTTTCTAGCTAAGTTCTAAAAACTATTTAATAATATTTGTAATTCACAATGCGCTCAGAAGTACTCGTGGCATTCAAGTAAGTTTTATTGTATAAAATTTATTTAATCATAATGGTTTTAGGACCTCTTGTTAGTCCGCGTGGGTAGGTACCACCACCCCGCCTATTTCTGCCGTGAAGCAGTAATGCGTTTCGGCTTGAAGGATGGGGCAGCCGTTGTAACTATACTTGAGACCTTAGAACTTATATCTCAAGGTGGGTGGCGCATTTACGTCGTAGATGTCTATGGGCTCCAGTAACCACTTAACAACAGGTGGGCTGTGAGCTCGTCCACCCATCTAAGCAATCAAAAAAATCAAATAACCTTAAAACAGTAATTAAATTATTTTTTCAAGTTCCAAAGTTTTTGGCGAATGAAAAGTAATAACAATTCAATAAACAGTAAAAATGTTGAATATGCAATGACTAATAAATGAAAATATTTTAGGGGTCGATAAGGTGTTTGAGTCGAGATATCTTAAACTTTATTAAAACGAGATAAGAAGGTTATTATATTAAAAAGGAAAACTTAAAACATGTAGCGTTAATGTAATTAATATAAACGAAAAAAAGGAATTCATTTTAGAACTAATTGTCTTACCTATGAATAATAATTGGACGAATTTGATTCGAGCCCCTACACCCCACCCCAGCTGAGGGTAATAGGTAAGAAAGATGAAGAAATGAATAATAAATGAGCACAAATTATAGTTTACTAGTGGTCCCCCATTAGTCGAAATTCGACTATAATTAATTGAAATTATAAGTTTGAACATTATTATGGTTTTATTGTCAAACACTATTATACTTCTATAATATAATTACAGATTTCGACAAGAATACACTATAGACAAATAGGTCTTAATGACAAACAATATTACTTTTGACAAAGGCTTTTTGGCGGGCACGCGTGGAGCGAAGTTGTGTGATTTATTTTATTTTGTCTATTTAGTGTTTCTTCAGATTTAAATGTATAATAACGGTGGTTAATTAAATGTTTAGTATCTGTGGAAGGGCACAAATGTGGAAAAATGAAACAAAGCCGCTGGACGTAACTTCTCGGGATCCTCCAAAAAGTCCACTGAAAAAGTTTCAGTAAACAACCACCATTTTACTCAGATTATATTTCATCCCATATCATCTCAATCTTTCAAATTAATGAACTTCATTTCATTTCACTCAATTTTATCATTAAAAAAAAGAATATAAAGTTCCAGTTTGAAAAATAATATTATATAATTTTACTAATAATTATATTATAATAAATAAATAACTTAATTTTGACATTTAAGTGTCATAAGTTTGACAATAAACAAAAGAGTATGCGCGTGCGTGCATGCGTGCATGCGTGTGTGTGTGTGTGTGTGTGTGTGTGTGTGTGTGTGTGTGTGTGTGTGTGTGTGTGTGTGTGTGTGTGTGTGTGTGTGTGTGTGTGTGTGTGTGTCAAATACATGGTAGTGTGTGCAATGTTTTTTTTAAGTATTTAATGTACATGTCATTAAAGCTTAATTAAAAAAAAAAAATAGCATTCTGCACTCCTTCTCTATGTTCTCTTTAAGTGTGGGAAATTTCATACTCCTCCGTTCGTCCAATTATCGCAAAAAGGATACAAAGTTTTTGCTTCACGTATTAATCTATAAATATCTGTACTAATATATAAATCTACAGTGGTTTTACGGATGTTCCGTTATAACTACTGAATCATGCATCCGATTGACTTGAAACTTGGTATCCATGTAGAAAATACATGTACTTAATGGATAGGCTAATATTTATATGAGTGTTGGACTCCCTACGTTACGCATTAATGATGAGAATTTTTGTGGGGGTGAGAAATAATAATGTTAATTTTCAATGGCCAACGAAGCGGACGAGTACAGCTAGTATATAGATAATATTGTACAGGTACGAACGTGAAGATGGTGCTCCTCCCTTCGCCCCCCTCCCCAGCGGCCCGTCCGCCGAGTGGCGCGCGCTCGTGGGCGGCCTGCTGCGAGTGTCGGTGTCGCGCCGCTACAACTACCTCGACACTCTGCAGCACCCCGCTCTAGCGCACCTGCCCGTGCACAATGTCCGCGATCAGGTACACACACACACTTATGTTGCATATCGAAGAAGATTACAGCTAATTTATATCTAATATATAAAATTATCGTGTCACAGGGTGCGTGATTGAACTTCTCCGAAACGGCTCGACCGATTTTCGTGAATCTTTGCTTGCATATCGGCCAAAGTGGAGAATCAAACAACATATATTTTTCATCCCCCTAAATCTTAAAGGTGGTGGTCCACCCCTAAATTTTTTATTTAATTTTTGAAACAAAATTTTTGGTTTTAATTTTTATATGATACAACATACAAAAATACATACAACCCTAAATTTTCACCCCTCTACGATCAACCCTTATTTTTTATTTGTTAATTAAAAACTTTAATTTTTTTTGCAAGAATTTTGTTTTTATTTTGTCATGACTTAGAATAAAAAAATTCATATTACTCTGAATTTTTCACCCCTCTACGATCAACCCTTATCTTTTATTTGTTAATTATAATCTTTAATTTTTTGGCAAGATTTTCATTTTTATTTTTATTTTGTCATGAATTAAAATAAAAAATCTGATGTTACTCTCAATTTTTCATCGCTCTATGACCAACCTCTTTTTTTTCACTTGTATAAGAATAATAATAGCTTTTCTAATTAGAGAATTTAATAAAAAAAAACCTTACAAACATTTTTTGATTCTTAAATTAATATTTATCGTCAATGTCAATCATTATTCACTGTAATTTTTAGGATAAAAAAGAACTTATCAGCGGGACGATTCCAGTTTTGATTGCTCAACGTATTGCTCAATATCGCTGGTTATATAGATAATTAAATCGAAATAATTTATGAGATTGAAATATTTATAAAAAATTACTTCTCAAATACGGTAAAAAATAATTGGCAGGATTTTATTAGCAGAAATATTGATGTGTCTAGACAAAGATGATATTGATATAAAAAATCATTCCCAACTATTACAATATTATATAAACAGGTGCAGTAAACAATTTCGTGAACTATCCAGGTACCTCCGTGGGTGCCCTGTATCCGCGGCGCAGAGGATGCGTCGTTCTTTCATCCACCAGAACGAAGGGCCCCCTCACCGTCGGCCACGCCTTTTCGATCGCGTCCACCGTTCGCTGGACAATTACCCTTTGTTGGTAAGATATATTCACAGCTAGATCTGTTTTGTTTTAATTTCCATTCTTGAAATGTATCTTATAAAAATGTTTTCAGGTTATTCGTACGTAGCTACTGACGTAAATGATGACAGCACCGGCGGCTTCAACGCATCACATGACTGCACCGCTATAGATTTAGCAACGTTTAAGTGAGTTGTAAAAAATATATATTTTTTTTTATTTATTGCTTGGATCGGTGGACGAGCTCACAGCCCACCTGATGTTAAGTGGTTACTGGAGCCCATAGACATCTACAACGTAAATGCGCCACCCACCTTGAGATATAAGTTGTAAGGTCTCAAGTATAGTTACAAACGGCTGCCCCACCCTTCAAACCGAAACGCATTACTGTTTCACGGCAGAAATAGGCAGGGCGGTGGTACCTACCCGCGCGGACTCACAACAGGTCCTACCACCTATATCTGAATATACAATACAAATAATGTTTAATTTTCTCATGAAATCTTTGAATGTTTGAATTTATAAATTACTAGCTGATCTTTTATTTAATTCCGAATGTTTTCATATTTATCTACCTTTTAAACCTTCTCTGGACTTCCGCAAATAATTCAAGACCAAAATTAGCCAAATCGGTCCAGCCGTTCTCGAGTTTTAGCGAGACTAACGAACAGCAATTCATTTTTACTAGTGGTCCCGCAGTAGTCGAAATTCGACTATAGTTAATTGAAATTATAAGTTATTATGGTTCTATTTATTGTCAAAGACAATTATACTTCTATAATCACAGATTTCGTCAAGACTAGACAAATAAACAATATTAACCTATTCTCAATTTTACCACAGACTATAAGCAACAAAAGTTGGACAATAAACATAGAGTATAGATATGTGTGTGTGTGTCAAATACATGGTAGTGTGTGTAATGTTTTTTTTTGTTGATTTAATGTAATATTAATACATAATTAAAAAAAAAAATTAGCATTCTGCACTTCTTGACTATATTCTCTTATAAGTGGGGGAAATTTCATACTTCTCCGTCCGCGCAATTTTCGTAAAAAGGGGTACAAAGTTTTTGTTTCACGTATTAATATATAGATATACTAGCTGTACCCGACCGCTTCGCTGTGCATTTAAAATTAACATTATTGTTTCTCACCCCCACAAAGATTCTCATCATTAACGCCCCCGTAACGGGTGTAGGGAGTCCAACACTCGTATAAATATTAGCCTATCCATTAAGTACATGTATTTTCTATATGGATACTAAGTTTCAAGTCAATCGGATGCATGTTGGTAGGCAGAGGCTTGGCTCTGCACCTGGCATTGCTGAAGTTCATGGGCGACGGTAACCACTCACCATCAGGTGGGCCGTATGATCCTCTGCCTACAAGGGTAATAAAAAAAAACATTTAGTAGTTAACGGAACATTCGTAAAAACCACTGTAGATTTATATATTAGTATAGATATAGATTCGTTTGAAAATTATGGTTATTGAAAGTGTGTTGCTATTGATACAGATCAGCGGAAAAATTAGCGATAATGCGCGGTAAAGAGATAGCGTCGCTGCAGACTAAGCTGGCGGCTGCGGAGGCGGGCGCGCTGGCGGCGGCGGAGCGCGCGCGCCGGGAGCTGGAGGCCGACGCCGAGCGGCTGCGGCTCCGGCTGCAGGCCGACATCACGGCGCTCAGTCTGCAGAACCGGTGCGTACAATCATCACCACGCAATACCAACTTTGACTAATTATCGCGACTCTTCTTTAACTCAATAAATAAAAATGATGGTTTTTTTTTGGCTTTGATGGGTGGACGAACTCACAGCCCACCTGATGTTAAGTGGTTACTGGAGCTCATAAAGAACTGCAACTTAAATGCGCCACCCACTTTGAGATTATATAAGTTCGAAGGTCTCAGTATAATTATAACAGCTGCTCCACCCTTCAAACCGAAACGCATTACTGCTTCACGGCAGAAATAGGCAGGGCGGTGGTACCTACCCGTGCGGACTCACAAGAGGTCCTACCACCAGTAATTTACGCTCATTATAATTTTGCAGGTTTGATTTTTATTACACGATGTTATTCCTTCAGCGTGAAAGTCAATCGTGAACATTTGTTAAGTACGTATTTCATTAGAAAAGTTGGGACCCGCCTGCGGGATTCGAATACCGGTGCATCCCTAGATACGAATGCACCGGACGTATTACCCTTTAGGCCACGACGACTTCAGACTTCAGACGTTTAATCATTCTTTATGCATGCCGAACAGTTCATCCGATAATAATAAAATTTGGTACAATCGTTACTACGACTCTAACCCTAGCCAGGTGACGCTGATATGGTCTCCATAAAAAACGACTCTAGGGAAGGTTTTTACAGTAATTCGATAGTTAATCGTTTTCTTTTTTTCGATATGTATACAAATAGTTAGGCCGTCTTTCGATAATGCTTTTCTTGACTTTGTTTTGCACAGAATTTCTAAGTAGATAATATAATCGAAATAGTTTTCTGGAAATTTCGAGAGTCGAGAAAAGTCTGAGAAAGTCGTTCATTTGATTAAGTTAAAAGTTTGTAAAGGTATTTTTGCCTTTTTTATTAATACCATCAGAGTTCGACAAATGGTTCACAACAGATCTCAAAAAACGATTCCTCCTCCTCCTCGAGTCGTGTTCCTCATGTCTGAGGGTCGTGACCACCATCACCCATGAGCTTCAATCTTAAGATGTTTTTCCACTTTCCCCTGTCCACGGCGTCATGCGGCGCGCTGTACACTGTACTGTCCAAAGCGGTGCGGATCTGATCGGACCAACGAGTCTGGCTGCGGCCTCTAGATCTGTTGCCTTCAACTTTCCCTGTGATCATAAGTTTTTCCAGGTTATCGCCGTCTTTCCTCGCAATGTGGCCAAAATATTCGAGGATCCGCTTCAGACATACAGTAGACACTCTGATTTTGATGCCCAGTTGCTTCAATATCGACACGTTAGTCCGGAAGGCTGTCCACGAAAAACGATTACATTTCTTAAATTTAGCACACAGCGAATTTTGACAGGATACCGCGACATTTCTTTTTCTATATCTTTCCCTCGCTACTGAGGATTGCGACCACATGTGACGTCCTTCCACTGTGCTCCATCATGGGTGGCATGGACTGCATGGTACAGACTACCACCAAGTGCTAGATCTGACCATCTGCCCACGGCGCGCTTACCCTCTACGCGAAATTTATGACAGCGTAATTAATTCCGATTTCCGTATTTACAAACAGACGACTTGAGCGACAAGTGGAAGTGGAAAAGGAAGAACGCATGGTCCTCCAGCGGACGAACCAAGAGCTGAGCTCTGGTATCGCAGAGCGCACCGGCGCCGAGCTGCGGGGAGCCAAAACCGAAATTGCCAGCTTAGTTTCTGAAAGGGATGAGTTGAAGCAAAACGTGCGAGAATTAGAAACGAGGGTGGTGGAACTCCAGGGTGAATGTGCTAGAGCGCTGGCCAGTGCTGAGACACAGAGGCTACAACACCAACATTACAAGGTAATTGATTACAAACATCTCAGAGTTGCTCGAATTTCGTTCAAGGCTAAAGAAACTGTTTTGCTTAGATGGTTGGACGAAATCACAGCCCACCTGGTGTTAAGTGATTATCGGAGCCCATAAACATCTACAACGTAAATGCGCCACCCACCTTGAGATATAAGTTCTAAGGTCTCAGTATAGTCACAACGGCTGCCCCACCCTTCAAACCGAAACGCATTACTGCTTCACGGCAGAAATAGGCAGGGCGATGGTACATACATGTGCGGACTCACAAGAGGTCCTACCAACAGTAAACTCTAATAAACTAAAATACAATTAAATTTTTAAACAAAAGCTTATTTAATTCTTTAAAAATGTAAGAAATTTAGCACAAGGTAGATCAAGAGTTCACGACCTTCCTCAATTGTTTAATTATTAACGAGTGTACTACCCGCGGAAGTAAAAAATATTAAATGTTGACGCAACAGATGTAGGCAGATAGAGGAACCTATCACCTCGAAACAATAATTTACGCATTTATATTTCATTCATTTATTGTGCAAATTTGATTTTCGAGATACATAATTTCATTACTGTAAATATTTATTAAGTTTATACGTCCGTGAACTTATCGCTTTATTATTATGTTAAATTACAAAATACAAAAATAGGCGACTTTGAATCCGTGCTTCGTTTATAAACGTAGCGACCCGAATATATCTGACATCTAAGGTCATAAGCTAATAATATAAGCTCATCAGGCTACGGGCATTGAATTCGTTTTGAATGACTTAATGCGAGAATTATATATATATTTTTTATTGCTTAGATGGGTGGACGAGCTCACAGCCCACCTGATGTTAAGTGGTTACTGAAGCCTATAGACATCCACAACGTCAATGCGCCACCCACCCTGAGATATAACTAAGGTCTCAAGTATAGTTACAACGGCTGCCCCACCCTTCAAGCCGAAACGCGTTACTGCTTCACGGCAGAAATAGGCGTGGTGGTGGTACCTACCCGGGCGCACTCACGAGAGGTTCTACCACCAGTAAGACTACCAAATCCCTTATGAGAATTGTCGGGTTTATTTAGTTATATCGAATTAGATTACAAAGTAACATTGACAATACATTGCTATCAACTAATTTGATGGTATTTTTTTAACATGTATCTGCCATTATGTTAAAAAAAAGATTTTTTTTCACTCCACCATAATAACTTTATGTTACTCAAAACATCAGAACATAAGACAACACGTTCAAGAATTACGTCATCGAAGATTAACAGAGATCAATGTGAAAGCTATTGTAAGTTTAAGAAAGTAGATGTATTGTACTCGAATGCATATATTTAGAAGCTAGAAATAATTTTGGTATCTCATTTTTTATTTATTGGACGACATATTTTAGCGAGCCCACGGCCCATCTGATGCTAAGTGATTTAACAATGTGAATGCCGTCACTTTGAGATCGCACTCTTATTATATATTGTACATGTATTGTATACATTTTTTATATATCTATACTGAAATTATAAAGCTGAAGAGTTTGTTTGTTTGAACGCGCTAATCTCAGAAACTACTGGGCCGATTTGAAAAATTGTTTCAATGTTAGATAGCCCATTTATCGCGGAAGGCTATAGGCTATATAACATCACGCTGAGACCAATACAAGCGGAGCACCAATAAATAATGTTTCAAAATCAGTGTTTTTTTTCCTTTTGAGAGCTTCCGCTGCGTGCGCTGCAGAAACGATTAAAGTTTCGCTAAAATAATGTATGACAGAATTGTTCTTATTTAAAAGATGAAAAAAAAAATCCGCGATAGCATATGTCTGTATGTTGGCTCACTATAATGTTTTTATGCTGACCAAATGTGTTCTAAAATAAAGCATTATTTGTGAACTATTCCACGCGGACGAAGTTGCGGGCATTGTATATATTTTGTATGTATTGTATATCTTTATATATTGTATTGTATAACGGAAAGTAGAAATAAGTGTGTGGCGGTAACCATCACAGAACACAAGATATTCGAGAGATCAATAGTCTGTGAGTGTATGTTTTTCGATTACGGTATTCATGTTTAACGTCTATTTTATTAGAAAAATACGTAGTTAACGTAATCAATTTGAAGTTAGTTATATTAGAAGTAATTAGTAAGTAGTACTGTATTAGTAAGAATCTAAATATCGGATGCTCCGCAATCGATAATGTCTTGAAAATTGCGTTAATTTTGTATTAATAAACAATCTTTTTATAGTTTTACAAATCTACACAGAAACCCTGAATATTTTTCGTATAAACTTTTTTTTAATTTTTATTTTTTTATTGCTTAGATGGGTGGACGAGCTCACAGCCCACCTGGTGTTAAGTGGTTACTGGAGCCCATAGACATCCACAACGTAAATGCGCCACCCACCTTGAGATACAAGTTCTAAAGTCTCAAGTATAGTAAACTTTATCGAATAATATTTAAGGATACTGTACCCACTACTGAAAGTTTTCTTGGAATTGGAACTGTCCGCAACATAAACTTTACAGATAGATGGACAAACAAACTGAAGGGCAAATAATCACATGAGGTTAAAGAAAGTCAAGCATTACAATTTGATCTATGTGCATTCTTCATTTTTAATACGCTTTTATTAGCTTCAGACGTATGTATGTTAGTATGTTACGGAATCTTTGAACATGATTTTAACCTCCTTCAAAACGTCGGATTAACTCGAAATTTGGTATACTTATTAAGGACCGATAACAATTCAATATTAAAAAGATATATTGAAAAGATTGAAATTAAATTAAAAAATGAAAAATAAATAACAACTTTAAAAAACTAACAAAATACGCTTTTATAGAAAATCCAACTAAAAAATAGAAAATAAATTTTAATAAATTTGAATTAAAAATAGTGTAAGATAAAATGATGCATGGTATCAGTAGTTATAAATATTTTATGAACAGATATGAGTTATTTTGATAATATCCTGAAAAGCACCTCACGCTTTTTTTACAATAAAATCATTTTGTCTTATATTATTTTTAATTCAAATTTATTATTATAAAATTTATTTTCTATTTTTTAGTTGGATTTTCTATAAAAGCGTATTTTGTTAGTTTTTTTTAAACTATTATTTTTTATTGTTTCCAGGATTCAGTAGCGAAGGAGCGTGCGATCCGCCGACAAACTCTAAGCGGGGGAGAGGCGGAGAGTCGTGAGGCGGCCGCCCGTCTCGCCGCTGCCGAAGCCGCCACGGCTCGGGAACAACGCGCTAAAGAACTACTAGAAAAACATTTGTCTAGCATTCAAGAAGAGAACAGATGTCTTCAGGCCGAACTTGATGAGACCAGGAAAGAATTGGCTGCTGTAAAGGTGAATGAAGCTAAGACACTGCGCATTCAAAAATTATTATTATGTATACTATGCTATGGGTCATCACTATTTATTTATTTATTTATTAGGCTCACAATACACAGTACAAGCTAAAAAGATACATAAAAAACATAAGTAAAAAGAAACAAAATCTGGCTTGCAACATAAGTTATGTGCGCACGACAAAACAAGATATAGTGCTCGATTAGTACAACAACGTTCCTTACAACTATACTAATTATATTATAGAGATAATGGGGTGTTAAAACAAAAAGAATCTGAAAAGAACTCTTAATAATATTATAATTATATAGACTGCTATTGAACTGGTTCTAAGCACTGTTTGTAGTTGTAATAAGTTCCCGATATTAGAATTATATTTATTATTATTTATTATAATTGAAGATATGAGTTGATGAAGGGGATATGATACAATTTGTTTATTGTTGAGAAAACATGTAACAAGCTTTTGTTACTTGTACTTTGTCTTCGTACATGACTCTTTCATCACATGCAATTTCTAAAAACAGCCTTTATACCCGGAGTTTTAAGGTCTAATATGGTTTATAGGCATATAACACCTTCATTCAATGTAAAAACTCAAAAATCTTAAAAATGGTACTTAACCCCTTCATCAACTCGTGTCTTCAATTATAATTATCAGTCAACCACGTTCCTTTCCTTTCAACCATTATACAATCATTAGCACTAATCACAACACATATGTGTCTTATTGTTGTGTTTAGTGTGTCTATGATTAGCTTGACTTCAACTATGAATTTTTTAATGAAAGAAATGTATTTCAGGCAACTCTCGGTGAAAAACAACGTATGAAAGAAGCTACATCCGATGAACTAAAGGACGTTCAACAACAGTTGGCTCAAGAAAGGCTGCGGGTGTCCACCCTCGTAGCACAAGTTCAGGTAAGCAAGCACATGATTGCACTGCTGTTGTATTTTTACGGCATTATATATGCGGAAACGTGTGATAGCGAAGCGAGTAAGTCTAATAGAGAAATGAGTAAGTCTGATATGGTAGTGAGGAAGTGTGATAGAGAGACGTGTAAATATGATAGGGTAGTGAATGAGTGTGCTAGAGCAATGAGTAAGTGTGATATGGTAGCGACTAAGTATGATAGAGCAGTGACTAAGTGTGATAGAGCAACGACTAAGTGTGATAGAGCAGCATATACTCGTAACGGTGATAGAGACGTGATTAAGTGTGATAGAACTGTGACTAAGTATGATGGGGCAGCAAATAAGTGTGTTAGAGCAATGAGTAAGTGTGATATAGTAGCGAGTAAGTGTGATAGAGCAGCTTGAAAGTGTCATAGAAATGCACGTAAATGTGATAGAGCAGTGATTAAATGTGATAGAGCAGCGAGTAAACCTGATAGAACAGTGATTAAGTGTGATTGAGCAGCAAGTAAGTATGATAGAGCAGCGAATAAGTGTTTTAGAGCGGTGAGTAAGTGTGGTCGGGTAGCGAGTACAGTCATACAGCAGCTTGTAAGCCTAATCGGGTAAACCAAAGAACCGACACTAAGAAGTTTATCAATTCATAGAAAAAGTTGTGTTTTTGTTTTTTACGAAGTAAAGGCTATGTCGAACCGTTTGTAGATATATTGTGTAAAATTAATAATTTATTATTACAACCTGAATGTCCTCAACAGGAGCTGGAACGTGGCATCGAAGAAGCTGTGAAACGTGAAACAGCTTTAGAAGAACAAAGCGCTCGCACAGAGTCGCGACTCAACGAGAGACTCGCTGAAGCCAACGCTCGAGCCACTAACACTTTGCAGGAAGATGCTAGGCACCGTGAGAAGGTAAATTGAATATGACTAATAAAAAAATTACACTACACTTCAGCCTAGAATGGCACAACCCCAGCTCCTACCGTATGTGTTATGTTCGAGGGATTCAGTACTGTGAAGCAGCAATGCGTTCCGGTTTGAACGATAGGGCAGCTGTTGTATTATACAATTGAAACTTCCTGATTAACTGTTGTCGCAAATATTAAATCCTATAGAATTAATAATGAATATAAATCTATAAAATAAACTTTTATATGTATTTTTGTTAACTTATAAAGCTATGAGAAATAAGCTTTTTTATTTTAATTAAGATGTATACATATATGTTTCACTAGACCGATAAATATAATAGAATACGACTTTGCTGTTGATTACACCTATAAATTTATGGTTAAAATTAATTAAAACTTATTTATCTATACTTCTATACTAATATTATAAAGAGGAAAGATTTGTTTGTTTGCTTGTATTGAATAGGCTCCGAAACTACTGAACCGATTTGAAAAATTCTTTCACTGTTTGGAAGCTACACTATTCCCGAGTGACATAGGTTATAATCTTTTTTGAAAAAAATTTGAGATTCTTACTAAGACTCCAATAATGTAACTCAAGGTGTAAAAAAATTACCTAAAATATTCTTTACATCGCGTGCCCTGCGAAAACTATTCATGATAGAATAAAATAATATACTACGACTTTATAGAACACATTATTATTTACAAAAGTGTCGCGACAGCATAATATGTCTAACTATTATAGTTATGCCGCAATAAGTGTTCTTTTATTTAAAAAATCTAAAACAACGTCAAATATCGTTGATTTGTTTGTTTTTTTGATTGAAATTTTTGTAAAAGATCGGAGCGAGCCGCCATTGAAACATATCGTGTATGTTTTAGGTGAACACTCTAGAGCAACTAGTTCGTCAACTAGAACGTGAGGTGACAGCCCTGGAGAGCCGCACGTGCATGCGGTGCTCGGCTCGCGACGACGCGCGGCGGGACGCGGACGAGGAGGCGGCGCGGCGGGCGGACGGCGCCGACGCACACAGCGACACGGAGAGCCTCGCCGACGCCGCGCATGCGCAACTCGCCTTGCTCAAGGAACAGCTCGAGAGGGCCGAGAAACAATTGCAGGTCTCAATTTTAACATATCATATGTCGGAGATCATTTATGCTATATACAATACCCCCCGCCGATAAATATTGCACATCGACCCTTGGAAAGAGAATCGTCTAATTTCGGTTCCGTTGAGCACTATCTCTGTCGTACCAGCGTATCGTCGGGTACTGTACGTTTCTCTATAGCTCTATGAAGTGTCCTTATTCAAACAACTAAATAAAACACTCCGTCTTGGTAGACGATGCTTTGGATGTTTCCCTGACGCTGCCACCGTCCATGGCTAATAGTAATCTATTACTATGGAGAAACTGAGTTTCAGCAATGTTTAAATTGGCCAAACTTATAATGACAATGGAATGATACATGAATTAATGTTTAACAATTATCGATTATATACAACCATACAACACAATAAGTTATTAAAACATTTTTTTACCACATTCGATGTGAGTAAAAAAAACTTTTACCAAATTAGTTATGAGTCAAAAAAACTTTTTTTTACATTACAGACAAAAGCTGAAGAAATAGCAACACTCCGTCAAGAAGCCAGAGCAGCGAATTTGGCAAGATGGCGCAAGGTAAGTTCTACAAAAAGCTATTGCTGAAAATAAGAAAAGAGCCCTGTCGTTATTTTTTTTTCCTGCCTAAGCTGATAGCCTTGAGAGGCTATTTCAGCGTAACCATAACTAGTAGGTGAGCTCACGGTGTCCAAGCCTAACGACGTTGCTAACACGAACCTTAGCAAGAGTCGTGCTTCGCAGAATCTACCACCGGATCGGAAACGCGCCCCACTGAGAAGATCCGGTGAGAAACTCAGTGGGCTGGGTCTGTGGGTTAATTTACTCGTCGAGCCCTTCGACCAGAACGATGACCGTGTCGTTAATGCAAATTTTTATTTCGTGTAACAGGAACGTGAGTTCAATGAACTATCGGTAGATGCAAAATCCACCGCTCGGGACTTGAAGCGTGTTGAAGAGCGCCTGTCCAATGCTATAGAGGCCCGGAAGACTGCCGAAAGGAAGTGTGCTGACTTGCAAACCGAAATAGCATCCGTTAAACCGAAATATGAACAAGCGAGTAAGGACTTGGATAGATTGAAACAGCAGCTTGAAAAACTACAGAAAACCCATGAGATCGCGCAAGTTGAAGTTGACAGGTAATAATAGCTTGCATGCTAATACGAACTATATCTACGAAGAAAAATAATTTATTCGAAAACAATATACATAGATTTATAAAATTTATTTTTATGTTAATTAAAAATTTAAAATGTACTGTTGTAATTTGAAACAAACAAGCGACTCTAAAAAGAGCCTATGAAACAATGAGATAACAAACTTATCAGTTTCACTTCCACCATGTGTTTTTAAATATCATTTAGTTTGTTATTGCACAATTTTTTTTTATTTTTTATTGCTTAGATGGTTGGACGAGCTCATAGCCCACTTGGTGTTAAGTGGTTACTGGGGCCCATAGACATCTACAATGTAAATGCGCCACCCACCTTGAGATATAAGTTCTAAGGTCTCAAGTATAGTTACAACGGCTGCCCCACCCTTCAAACCGAAACGCATTACTGCTTCACGGTAGAAATAGGCAGAGTTTCATTTTAATTACACGATAGTATTCCTTCATCGTGGAAATCAATCGTGAACATTTGTTGAGTACGTATTTCATTAGAAAAATTGGTACCCGCTTGAGATTCGAACACCGGCGCATTGCTCAATACGAATGCATCGGACGTCTTATCCTTTAGGCCACGACGACTTCATGCATCACTAATGCATCATATGGGCTCGATGGTTATTTTGTCGTACATTTCGTGGCACGTACCAGGTCGCGTAACGACATCCGCAAGCTGAAGAGCGAGCTACAGTACAGCGAGAAGCGGCGCCTGCACGCCGAGGAGCAGGAGGAGCTGTCCAGCCGGGAGCGGGCGCAGCTGCGGGACGAGCTGCACGAGCTGCGACACAGGAACACCGAACTGTTTGAGGTAAACTAATTTGAGAATATCTCCTGCGACTGGAATAACAGTCTGAACTATTTCTTGTAAAGATTGAATTTAAACGAATGAGGGATAGGTTTTTTATTAGTTTCCCAACTTCTAGTGTTATATTTAAATCGATTATTCAGAGAAACGTTATAAACTCGGACCGTTTGTCTCTAACTAATGAAGACGATACGATCACGTGACGATACCTTAAAGATGGTTTGGTTTTGCACTAATTTAGTTTCTCATAAACGTGGAATCTCTGTATGCGAATACGATAAACGAGCGATCATTAGGGAAATTTTTTAATTTACTACAGAGATAGGCAAGACGATTAGGCGACAGATTGTGGCCGAGTGGTGTCGATTAAATTTTTCTAATGCACTGCAAAAATACTACTTATCTACATACGCATACACACGCACACACATGCACACACACGCGCACACCCATATGCACACACGCACGCACACGTGAACTGCTCTATCATCCGCACAAAGGACGCGTTGACTTAAGATCTTGATTTGATCTGCTCGTAAAGTAACTCGACCAACAACAGTCATATGATTAAAAAAATACATTCAGACAAAATGTTCGTTTTTTCAATTTGATTACCTGTGCCAAAACAATCAAAATACTTTAGAAATTTACATGCGCCTTTTTTAATATTAGAAATATTTTTAATCTCGCCTACAAAAAAGTAGCCGCCACATCGAATCATCATTTACGTATTACCATTATTCTGGCTTCCCATAAGGTTGGACTCATAATTTTATTTATATATTTCTGTCGATTTAAGCTACAAAACTATCAAGACAATATTGAATAGGTGCGTGTCGTAACGAGATAATAATGTTTATGTTTCGATGCACAATCATTGGATAAATATTTATAAGCAGACCATTGATGTTTTTAAATAACAATATACTCTAGTTTACAAAACAAATTCGCAATACGTGGAGGATGTATCGTTCATTTTACAGTCTGCCGAGAGGCAAGGTGATAGTTGGATTTATCAAAACAAATACACACAGACAGTACATAATAATAATGGATACATATAAATGTAAAATAAACGTCATTCAAAAGCCAGCCGTACGTCCGAAGCCGTTTTACTTGCGGCATATCTGCAGCGGGTCCTTTGTTCGTAACAAGGAAGGCGCCTGGTCCAAGAGAGTGAGATTCGCTCTGGCGACGGATCTGTTGCACGGACGACACGGGATCCCGATCCCAGCCAATACTTTAACAACACTTAATAGACATTTTCATTTGGTACATGTGATTTTGTTTCGAATTGTAACATATAAAATTTTCGAAGACAAATCTAGTATCTCATTGTAAATATCGTATTAAAATAACGTGTATCTTTTAAAATTAAATTAATTAATTAGTTTAAAATTCAGTACCATTGCAGTGATGTACCTACCTACTCATCATTAAAAAATAGTCCTGTGTAATATATTTATTATCTGTTGAAGTTATTTGATAAAACGAGAAATTGCCATTTGTTTTTTTGTTCTTTGCAGAATAATAAGGCCTTACAGGAGGCCTGCAGTGTGTTAGAAGAACAACTGACAGACTTGGAAAAACTCACCGATATACATGAACTAAAAAACAAAGATCTGGAGGTACGATATGGAAAATAACCTAAAATTATTGCTAATGCAAAATGATATGAAATTTGATAGTTGATGTATATAGAGCTTTTTTTGAGTAAGACTATGCAAGTTTTGAAATTCGCAAATAAATGGAAGAACAACTATATTCTATATGGTATATTTTTAAAGTCTCATTCTCAATTTTTTTATAGTGTAAATTATTATTTAGTACGTTTCCAAATTACGAGATTTTTTATCTTCATGTTTTTAATTTCAGAATGAGCTACAACGCGCACGTTCGGAATTAGACTCGTGTCGAACACGACTATGTGAGGTTGAAAAGCAGGCGGCGGAGCGCGGGGCGGCGGCCACGCTCGCCGGCACACTGCACGAGGAGGCGCAGGAACAAGCCAAGCATGCCCGGGATCAACTGCAGATGCTGCGGGCACGTACACACATGCTGGCTTTGAGACCGTGAACGTGCTCAATCCGCGGCTCATTATTGGCTGTTACTTGTAGCGCGTTTGCGTGTCTGCCAACATCCTTGCTAGAGTAAAAAAGCGGGGACCTTTTGCTAAAAAAATCAATATTGATAATATCAATAGTGCTGTCAATGCCAAAATTTTAATGGATTTATCAAGTGTGTTCCAAAGCCGTTCATCACTTGCGCAATTATTGGTGTGCTAATGTCTTAATGCGCGAGCTATACATAAGCCCTCGTCTTAACTAACAACAAAATCGAGTTAAATTGTTTAATTAACGGTAGGCAGCGGCTTGGCTCTGCCCCTTGCATTCTTGAAGTCCATGGGCGACGGTAACCACTCATTATCAGGTGGGTCGTATGCTGTTCTACCTATAGGTGCCCCTATAGGGGCAAAAAAAAAATGATGTGTATATATGGAAGTATTAAGAATTTCACCTTTCTCCGAAACGTCGACGAGTCAATCCAATACATACTAATGTTCGATAATTTGGCAGGAACGTCTGGACAACCGCGAGGAGCAGGTGGTGGCGCTAGAGGGGCGCGTGGCGGAGCTGGAGAGCGCGCGGCTCGGCGCCGACAGCACGCTGCAGGGCGCCGCGCGCCGCCTGCGCGACCTGCACGAGGAGTGCGCCGCGCTGCGCACCCGCGCGCACCAGCACCACGCGCACGCGCTGCAGCTGCAGGCCGCGCTGGCCGACGCGCAGGTACCGCCGCCCTCTCGACATGCCGCTCTCATTATAACTCTACCCTATACTAATATATAAATTTATATTATAGTAGTTATTACAGATATTCCGTTATAGCTACTGAACCATGCATCCGATTGATTTGAAACTTGATATCCATGTAGAAAATACATGTACTTAATGGATAGGCTAATATTTATATGAGCTTTGAACTTCCTTCACCAGTTGCAGGGGCGTTAATGATGAGAATCGTTGTGGGGGCGCTAACGATAATATAATAATAATATAATACTTATCGCTTAATATGTAATCATGTTAATTTTAAATGCCCAGCGAAGCGGGCGGATATAGCTAGTTTGTATTTGAAGAACTTTTTTTTTTTTTTATTGCTTAGACGGGTACACGAGCTCACATCCCACCTGGTTGTTAAGTGGTTACTGGAGCCCATAGACATCTATAACATAAATGCGCCACCCACCTTGAGATATAAGTTCTAAGGCCTCAAGTATAGTTACAACGGCTGCCCCACCCTTCAAACCGAAACGCATTACTGCTTCACGGCAGAAATAGGCAGGGTGGTAGTACCTACCCGCGCGGACACACAACAGGTCCTACCACCAATAATTACGCAAACTATTTTATAATTTTGCGGGTTTGATTTTTATTACATGATGTTATTCCTTCACCGTGGAAGTCAATCTTGAACATTTGTTGAGTACGTATTTCATTAGAAAAATTTGTACCCGCCTGAGACTCGAACACCGATGCATTGCTCGACACGAACGCACCGGACGTCTTATCCTTTAGGACACGATGACTTCAAACGGGACCTTTTTTTTTATTGCTTAGATGGGTGGACGAACTCACAGCCCACCTGGTGTTGAGTGGTTACTGGAGTCTATAGACATCTACAACGTAAACCACTTACTGGTGGCTTACTGGTGGTAGGACCTCTTGTGAGTCCACGCGGGTAGGTACCACCACCCTGCCTATTTCTGCCGTGAAGCAGTAATGCGTTTCGGTTTGAATGGTGGGGCAGCCGTTGTAAGTATACTGAGATCATAAAACTTATATCTCAAGGTGGGTGGCGTATTTACGTAGTTGCTCCAGTAACCACTTAACACCAGGTGGGCTGTGATCTCGTCCAACCATCAAAGCAATAAAAAAATAAAAAAACTAGCACTGCCTGTATATCAAGTTTCCTACTATAAAACGTGAGCTATGAAAGAGACTGGGCAAACAAATATTAAATTAATCATTAATTTAGGAGGAGTTAGCGGCGGCTCGGGAAGCTGCTGAAGCCGCAACGGCCTGGTGGCGCACCAGGGAAACCAAAGCTGACGCTACGCTGCGACAACAAGCCAAACTAATCGACTTCCTACAGGTAATGTATTCTGCACAAATACTATCAACTTAAAAGTAGTGAATGTTGAATTGAATATTACAATAGATCTATTAAAATTCCAGAAGCAGAACTTAATTTATCAATATTATATTGTACAGGCCAAAGTGGAGGAAGCTAATCGCAAAAAGTGTTCGCTGAGCAATAAATTGTTCGGTCGATCCGGGCGGAGGTCAGCCGCTTCACCACCACTGCGACGTGCCAATAGGTAACCTCGGTGATTCATTAGTCGCAAACTTTCCCTGCCCTGCTTTTTTTTTATTTTTTTTATTGCTTATATGGGTGGACGAGCTCACAGCCCACCTGATGTTAAGTGGTTACTGGAGCCCATATACATCCACAACGTAAATGCGCCACCCACCTTGAGACATAAGTTCCAAGGTCTCAGTATAGTTACAACGGCTGCTCCACCCTTCAAACCGAAACGCATTACTGCTTCGCGGCAGAAATAAGCAGGGCGGTGGTGCCTACCCGTGCGGACTCACTAGAGGTCCTACCACCAGCTGAAGCTAAATGACCCCAGAACAACGTGAATTGCGTCTTTCAAAGCAATGTCTTGTCCTTTGCAGAGAACTACGCGAAGAAGTAGAAAGACTACGAGCCAAACTCGCCTCTAGTGCCAGCGACGTCAAGTATGTGACACCGTAACAAGTCTAGAGAGAATAAAGAAAGAAAGATGAGAATAGACGTCTAATGGACATTTACATTTTATCTAAAATGGTCTATCTATCTAGACCAACAAAATTATACTTATCTTGAGCTAATTTTTAAATCATCAAGTAAAAGTAATCTATCAACTTAATTATAACACCTTGCCAAATATATATAATACTAGCTGACCCGGCAAACGTTGTGTTGCCTTAAATAAGATTTCTAGGGAAATTCTACTGTAGAAAAAAAAAACCTCATTTAACCACATAATACCTCATTGTAAACAAAAAAAAATATCCAAAAAATTAAAATAAAAAATAAATGTTTGGGGTCGACAACCCTTTTCACTTAGGGGTTTGAAAAATAGATAGTAGCCGACTCTCAGACCTACTGAACATACTATTGATACACAAATAAAACCAAAAAAACATGGCTGAAAAATGTATAGTATTGTATAGCTCAAATATATTAAGTGTATAATCTATGATGTATAGTGAGTAAGTAAGACAGGAGACCGGCTTCGTCCTCATCCCTACTACGTGATGTTTACTGGATGAGTGGTGACACCTGGCGGGGATAGCTGATCGATTGATAGTTGATCAGTAGTCGACCGGCGAGGGCGGGAGATCAAATTCAATTTAAAAAAAATTATAATTAAAGGAACTTGAAATTATAAACTCTGAATAAGAGTTTATCGTACTACAATTATAATATTTGATTGCCATCTTGCAACCTTATTGCGGATCTGTGCATAGAATAAAAAATATATTGATCGGGATGGAAAAATAGGGGTTGATCGTATAAGAGTGAAAATTGAGAGTAATATAATTTTTTTTATTTTAAGTCATGACAAAATACAAACAAAATTCTCGCAAAAAATTTTAAAGTTTTTAATTAGCAAATAAAAAATAAGGGTTGATCGTAGAAGGGTGAAAATTGAAGATTGTATGTATTTTTGTATGTTGTATCATAAAAAAATAGAACTAAAAAAAATTGTCTAAAAAATAAAAAATAAATTTAGGGGTGGACTACCCCTAACATTTAGGGGGATGAAAAATAGATGTTGGCCGATTCTCATAGATACCGGATAAGCACAACAAATTTCATCAAAATCGGTCAAGCCGTTTCGGAGGAGTATGGCAACGAAAACTGTGACACGAGAATTTTATATATTAGATATAGTTAATTAGATTTTTAATTGAATAATATTTAAATGAATATTCATATGTCTGTCATAAAAAAAAAAGTGTGGTGTTTGACTTTATGAATAAGTTTTGTCTGATATTTGACAAATTTATCTAACCTATGAGACATTTAGTTTAGTAAATAAATATATTTATTTACAGTTGTCCTCCTACACCGAAAACAAGCAATTCAAAAACTAAATCCTCAGTTAACGGGTAAAATATTCCTTTTTTTTTTCGATTATGTATTGTGTGTGAGAGATATTTTTAAAATTACTAACACATATTGTTGTATTTTTAGATTGAAGAAATACATAGACACCCCAGATGGAGTTGAAGATAATTCCGTGGAGATAGTATGGTAAATATTATAAGTTAAGGAATGTTACATCTCAGCCCAAAACTTACACACTTTTAAACGAAAAATCAGAGGGTAAGAAAAACCATAAAGTTCATAGTTGTAATAATGCATAATGCAATTTGTTCTTTTGTATTCGCTATTTCTATTGTACATTTTTTGTAATATTCCTGTGTACAAGGAATAAATAAAAAGCTGCATTACCTAAATAACTGAACAACAAATCATCATCATCATTTACTGTGTCCAATATTTCTTTACAAGCAGATATAACAAACCTGGATTCGTGGGTAGTTTTTTCTAGGTGTCTCAACTTTTAACTAAAACTTCATATCAATTATGAAATGAATTTCTATATTAAAAATCGCAATACCTAAAAATTACATTAGACTTAATTATAAATTCAAATAACAATCGTTTCAATAAACAATTCACGCACGTGTTGCCTCCTGTGTGCTCAGTGCGAGTTTTTTAACGTTCTCGATAGCGTAAAAGTTAGCTCATATTTGTATGGAATGGGATCGCTTGCGTACGATTGCCGCTAGGGGCGCTGTTCCTACTGCATACAAAATTGGGTTAACTTTTACGCTATCGAAAACGTTAAGAAACTCGCACTAAGCACACAACTCGCTCGCGTGTCTAATGTTGGTAACGTGGAGCAGGTCGGACGGCGGACGCGACACGATGGCGGCGCGGTGGTCGGACGGCGCGTTGAGACTCGCGGGCGGCGGGCGCGAGCTGCGAGCCACGCTACTGTCTCCCGACGCTAAGAACTTACCGCAGACCGAAATTAATAGGGCGTTTACGGTAACTTATTTCATCTTAAAATATTATTTTTTTAAGCTTAACCCTTCGAGCGCGAATCGTCGATATATCGACTCTCTATTAATTCGTATAATATGCTGTGCGTCGGAATATCGACAATTTACACAGTTTGCTTATGGGTATTAGGTATCGACCTGTACGGACGTTTCTTATCGCACGCATATAAAGATCTTATTAAGTCTTTATTAAGTTAGTAACATTTACAAATAACCATTTTTTTTTTGCTGTGAACTTAACATTGATTTTTGTATTTATTATTTTTGAGTTGTTTTATATAAGATACTTTTTTCAAAAATCCTTTAGCCTATATCTGTAAAATATGAGAAAATAAGCTCAGCACTAAAGTGGTTAAAGAAAACAATCCCTTATACAGGTTAAGCTTGAGAATTCGGTCAGAGGGAGCGAGGCCACGGTCGTGTGCTCCACTATAACTGACAGAACGGAATGGATTTCTAAATTACAAGCGATTCCTGCTCCGACGCCTGGGTACATGCCGACCGTCCTAGCGCGACTGGAAACGAAGCCATTCTCTGCACTGTACTTCGCGCCAGATGTCGTCGCCATCGGTATGGAATACGTTTATTATTACAGACTAGCTGACCCGGCAGACTTAGTAGTGCCTCAATCGATAAATAAAATACCCAAACCTTTGTATAAAATAAACTTAAAACAAACAAAAGGAATCGGTCCGACGTGGGGCACATCAAAGGAAAAATAAAATTGTTATTTTTATTTAATTTCGAGAATTTAATATTTATTGACCTTTTAAACCTTCTCTGGACTTCCACAAATAATTCAAGACCAACATTAGCCAAATCGGTCCAGCCGTTCTCGAGTTTTAGCGAGACTAACGAACAGCAATTCATTTATATATATATATACAGTCAAACCTGGGTAAGTGAGAGCTGGATAAGTGAGAAAACTATATAAGTGAGAGTAATAGCCAGGAACCGTCATTTTAAGCTCCCAAACCCTCTATTAGCGAGAAACAGAAACCTCTGTAAGAGAGAGAGTCGTTTTTCCCTCATGGACCTCCGTAAGTGAGACGGCTACTTATCTATACCTCTATAAGCGACAGTCGAGCTTTATTTGTTTATATTATTTAGGAGGAACAAGTGAAAAAACTAATTACAGATTTAACATCTGCTATTTTATGACTCATTCTTAACTTTTGTAGAACTTCCTTCCATTGTTTTTGTATTGTTTTCTCGTCAATATTGAACCTATTCTATTTCGTGGAACTAAATAACGTTCTCATTTTATCGCATTCTTTTCGAATGGACACGTGCGCCTGTGTACCGTCCCGTTTGTCGGACTTACTCAGTTTATCATTAATCAATTGCGAAGGAAAGTTCTGTTCTGCATCATGTCAAAACGGAAAATTAAAGTACTGTCATTAAGTGATAAACTTAAAATAGTGAATGCGTTTGAATCCGGAAAATCGCGAAATGAAATTCATTATTGCCTGTCATTTATGTACAAAGTAGTTATTGTCGCTTAGTCACGTTTGCCTTTCAAGCGTCGATATATATATATATTTAAATCGATGAAGACTTCTTGCGTCTTTTCATAGTCGAACCCTGTTGCATCCACCGTCTACAATGGGTTTTAAACTATTATTCGTGCGAATATAGTTACATTGGTGTCGTGTGAATTCTATTACCGACAAGAAATTTTATTTAAATTCGAAAATAAGATATTCAATTTGAAATAATTTTCGCTGGTTCGTTGCATCCGTTCATGATGGAAATAATGTGTCACATTGTATATTTCTGTATTTGTTCCATACATTTAATCAGTTTTTCGACATCCATCCAAATGTATGGATATATCGGTTCCGTATACTGCCCTGTATTTATTCTATGCATTCCACTAATTACATGACTACTTTCTATATTTGAGATTATATTGGTACCGAATATTTTTTCTGTATGTACTCCATAAATTGTTTTGAGCTTGCTGCTTCCTCCTAAACTTATAGTAATATCGATACCGTATACTTTTTGGAGTGCTGCCGTCTTCGATTAANATCTATATATATATTTAAATCGATGAAGACTTCTTGCGTCTTTTCATAGTCGAACCCTGTTGCATCCACCGTTTCCAATGGGTTTTAAACTATTATTCGTGCGAATATAGTTACATTGGTGTCATGTGAATTCTATTACCAACAATAAATTTTATTTAAATTCAAAAATAAGATATTCAATTTGAAATAATTTTCGCTGGTTTTTTGCATCCGTTCATGATGGAAATCATGGGTCACATTGTATATTTCTGTATTTGTTCCATACATTTCATCAGTTTTTCGAAATCCATCCAAATGTATGGATATATCGGTTCCGTATATTGTCCTGTATTTATTCTATGCATTCTACTAATTACATGACTACTTTCTATATTTGAGATTATATTGGTACCGAATATTTTTTCTGTATGTACTCCATAAATTGTTTTGAGGTTGCTGCTTCCTCCTAAACTTATAGTAATATCGATACCGTATACTTTTTGGAGTGCTGCCGTCTTCGATTAATGTAATAAATAATAGATCCCAATGAACCAATCCCAAGAACCATCTCCTTTTATGAAGTCAATTAAAATAAAATTTATGTAGCTTTGGGTTTGGATGCCGGCTTTTTTTCCTATTCGCCGGTAGCCTAGGAGACTATTTCAGTTACGACCTTACGGGTAGGTGAGCTCATGGCTTCAACCTGAGAGAATTTGCTAACACCAGCCCTAACAAGAGCTGTGCTTCGCTGAATCTATCACCGAAACGGAATTGCGACCCACCGAGATGACAATGGTTTATCGATAGCGAACACACTCTTCAAACAACATCCACGCAGGCTTTACACTTGAACTTCACCTCAATACCGAAATCAAATTGACTATATACTTATAAAATCAAGGTGGAGTGGTGGAGCCGACTACGGATCCGATCCTCGTCTCTAAATTCCAACTTAAACTTCAGGTTGCAAGGAAAATTAATGAATGCGAAATAATTGCTCCTCATAACACCCAAAATTTTTTTGTATCTTTCGAAAAGTTGAAAAGAAATGCAAATTGAACGGCATGATCAACTGACGGCTGAAGAATTTTGGAATAGAACAAAAGCAATGATTTGAGAAGCAGTGAAAATATCTAAACCTGCCAAATCTGAAACCAAAAAATATCAGCACTGGATGAGTGCTGAAGCTTTACCGTTGGTGGAAGAGAGACGACACAAAAAGCACAGGGAGTTGAAGTGCAAATACTGAACAAACTGGTGCTAACATTCAAAGAGCCTGTAGGAGGGATAAAAATAACTTTCTGCTCGAAAGTTGAAGCGCATGTTGAAAAACACGAAGCAAGAGATTTGTACCGGAAAATTAGTGTAATCACCAAGACTTTAAGTGTTAGACCTGGGCTGTTGAGAAATCGGATGGATGTGTAGTAGTAACAGAGCTAGAAGACTTTCAGACCGATGAAAAGAATATTGCCAAGCTCTCTTCTTTGACCCCGACTGCAAAATTTTCCCCCCAACGACATCAGATATCCAAGAACGCGAACCAGAAATACTGAAAGAAGAAGTTCGTCATGCCATCAAACACCTTAAAACTGGAAAAGCAGTAGGAAGTGAAAACATCCCAATCTAGACAGTTAAAGATTTTGGCCAGAGTGGTGTCGAAATCTTCCATGCAATTTGTAACAAGATATGGAAATCTGGCACCTGGCTTACAGAATGGACGCACTCCCTTTTTATTTCTTTGCATAAGAAAGGTTCGACAAGGAAGTGTAGCAATTATCGTCTTATTGCCCTGATATCAATCACACTGTAGCAAAATTCTACATATTCTTAATGAACGTTTAAAAAGCTGTTTAGCAACACAAATAGCCCCAGAGCAAGCTGGCTTTGTAAAGGGGAAGGAAACAAGAGAATCGATCTTGATTGTGCGACAAATAATAGAGAAGCCGAGAGAGTTCAACATGCAAACGTTCATTTGCTTTGTTGACTTTCAAACAGCATTTGACTCTTAAATGGCCACATTTATGGAAAACCCTCGAAAATATGGGTGTGCCAAAACATCATACATTCAGTAAAGCTGGACAACGTTGCCTCATAACCTCTGCGTCCTAGCGCTGGAGTCCAGCAAGGGTGTATCTTGTCACCTCTCTTGTTTAACATTTACACTGAGGCAATTATGAGAATCGCTCTAGGTGACTGGACTCGGACACGGTGGGATCGTGCACCGGTTCCCGGTCGTGCGCGGTGTTCCACAGGGGTTGGTGCTCGGCCCCCTTTTGTGGAATATCGGGTATGACTGGGTACTGAGGGGTGCCCTCCTCCCGGGCCTAAGCGTAATCTGTTACGCAGACGACACGTTGGTCGTGGCCCGGGGGGGGAGTTTTGCTGAGTCTGCCCGTCTTGCTACCGCTGGGGTGGCGCATGTCGTCGGCAAAATCAGGAGATTGGGCCTCGACGTGNATATACGCTACCGATATACGCCGCGGAGAAGCGACCTCCAAAATTCGCGTGCCAAACAGCGGAACTAAGAAATACGCTGAGAATCAATCCGGTGACAAAATAACGTCCATGCCAATATTTTACCCACGCATTGTACGGATCTTTCGGCTACCTCTGGCTGAATTTGAGAAATGGACAATCTTGCGTCCATATACAGGACGCAATAAGTCTGTCGGATGCAATATCATCGGTAAAAACCGCCATATAGGACGTAACATGAACTCCCGGATGGAAATATATATATATATATAGGTTATTACAAATTAAATCCCATGAACTATTAAATATAGTATTAGATTTTCAGTTAAGATTTTTATACATTAATAACTCTCAATAATATTTTGTAAAGTATACTTTTATGTATGGCTAGTACTTTTAAACAGCGCGATGTGAAAATATGTTCTTAGCTCCAAGCCATTATTGCTATAACAAACGGTGCTTGTAGAGTAACGATTGATAGTTGGACACTAATAATATGCTGTCAGGTTGCTCGGAGGGCCTGCGCTCGTTGCGCGGCTGCGTGCAGGTGGCGGGCGCGGGGCGCGTGGCGGCGCTGCAGCTGTGCGGCGGGCGCGCGGTGCTGCTGCGGCGCGGCGCGGTGCTGCACGCCGCCCGCCCCGCGCTGCTCTCCGCCCTGCGCCGCGCCGCCAGCCTGCGCCCCGCACTGCCCGTCACCGAGCTCACCTTGCCAGACGCTGGAACTCCGCACATTATTAAGGTACGTGTAATTCGCGTAATGTACGTTTCTACTCATGGTAGGACCTCTTGTGAGTCCGCGCGGGTAGGTACCACCACCCCGCCTATTTCTACCGTGAAGCAGAAATGCGTTTCGGTTTGAAGGGTAGGGCAGCCGTTGTATAATACGACCGACGTAACTTGGCGAGTCTGAATATAGCCGCAGGTGAACTTTCGCGCATGTACACTCGTAAAAAAAAGTGTTATTAGCATAAATTTTTTTTAATACAAAATACATTTAAAATGTCCCTAATTATACAGGTACCAAGTACAAATAAAATGAATATCAAAACACTATGAGACAGAAAGCTATAAAAATAACGTAATAAATTAAAGAAAGATAATAAAAGAATAATAAATTATGACAAAGCTGTAAAAATAACGTAATTAAATTAATTCGAAAGTAAGCCCGAACACTGCCTTCAGTTGCGATCCGCTGTACTGTGCGTTGCGATACACCAGTTGCGTTAGCAACTCTAAATAAAACTGTCAACATCTTTTAAACCTTCTTCTTTTTCTTTTAAAAAAAAAAAATCAATAATTATGTTTGTCGGCCGACGATTTAAAACACTATTATGCTTTGGTTTAACGAATAGTATAAATGCCAAGGGACACTTAATACTAAAACAAATTTAAACACAAACAATCTTAAAACTAAACAAAAAACTGAGCACTAAACAAAAACAGTATAATAATAACAAATCAATGAAAACTTTTGTAGCCGCCCGTACTCAAGACAGAGATAGCGACGCGAACACGACCCTAATGCTAGCGTGTGAGTGAGACACATTACCGCGTACCGAGAATTACCGAATTTATACGATGTAAAGAAAAGGGATGTCCAATATGCGTGTTTGAGGATGTTGTTCAATCGATTTTTTTTCAAATTGATTAAAATTTAAATAAAAAAATATATTTATATTCCATTTTATAGGAGGTTTAAAATATTCACAAACAGTTCCTATTGTAGTAGTTGTTTATAAATAACTGATATTCAACTAAATCATGTCTTTCAACCAAGAAAATAAAGAGTTTATTAGTTTTTTTTTTATTAAAGATAAAGTCTCGTTTACTAACGACAACATTCAATAAGTTTGTAAATCTATTTCGTTCAGTATCTCATAAAAACAAAAATCAATAAATTCTAAATCGATAAAAATCGATTGCGATATTTGATTGAATAAAGGGACGATTGTGTTTACACAGAGTCAATCCCTAGCCTAGGCCTCCGCCCCGCGCACGTCGGTCATGCCACCATTTGGTTCCTAAAAACGTTTGTGCGCAGCCTTCTGCGCGAAGTTCGGACTCGCCAAGATACATCGGTCGTATTGTAACTATACTGAGACCTTAGAACTTATATCTCAAGGTGGGTGCCACATTTACGTTGTAGTTGTCTATGGGCTCCAGTAACCACTTAACACCAGGTGGACTATGAGCTCGTCCACCCATCTAAGCAATAAAAAAAACGTGATTTTCGTAAACTTTTTTAATTGCCTCAAACCTCTGAACAAGCACACGACGAACCTGGTGCTAAGTGATTACCGGAACTCATAGATGTCGCCAGTGAGTGCCGCTACCGACTTTGAAAGATCGAAATCTCAGATGTGTGTCTATCGTATTGTAGGCTTCCTTCAAATTACTGTTTAACAGAAGAATCACGGTGGCCACCCCCTACTATACCCACACTAATTACGCATATTTACAAATATGGTCCTTTACATTTATTTTCACGATACTGTTCCTTTATCGTGAATTAGTTTATGAACACGTGTTAAATGCTTATTTTTATATAAAAAAATGCTACGTTCTCGCAGGATTTGAACGCTGATCCAGTCGCATCGCTCGATAAGGGTGCACCGGGCATCTTATCGTTTAGGTTAAAGGTTCGACGATTTTTTTACGTTTGTGATGGTTGCAGTGCCTCGCGAAGGACGTGACGTCGGGTCCCTGCGCGGCCGTCGCCTGCGGGAAGCGAGTGTTTCTGCTGCGCTTCGACGGCCCGTCTTCCGAGTTCAAGGTGTGTCGCTCGCTCTCGGTGGACCGCGCGCCGCTCTCGCTCCTGCTCACCGATGACACCCTTTACATTGCCGCCGAGAGACCCCTAAAAGTGAACTTACCATCCGGCCCCCTCGAACCGTTCGCAGCGGAGGATTCAAGCATCGCTGCCGCAGCTAAAAACGGCTCTCCCCCTAGAGCCATACTGTTAATCCGACAGAACCCCGTTGAGATTCTGCTCTGTTACGCTGAATGTGGTGTCTTCGTCGATGACAACGGTCGACGTACTCGCAACGAAGATCCCAAATGGAGTCTGGCAGTCCACGAGTGGGAATTCGTCACTCCGTTCTTATACGTCGTAGGAGAGGAGAAAGTGACTATTATTTACATAAATGATGAAGCCTATAAAGCTCCGCCTTGCACATGTGACACTGACTCGTTGACGTCGAGCGCGTCTGAATGCTACTCGCCCCAAATTTTTAACTTAAAACTTCTGGAGCCGACCTTGTTGGGCACGACCCAGAGTGGAATAATTCTAAGAACGAGAGACGAGGACGGCTACAAAGTCTCCCTACTGGATGGCATGGCCGCGTTTAGGAGTATCGGTGCGTCGGTTGAATCATTAGATACTGTATCAGCTAAAGGTTCGTCTACAGATTTGGCTCAATCAATGTCTGACTTATCTCCGCAAGATGTCTCTCAAGAAAGTGTCGAAGCTCACACGGGGTTCTTGGCCGATATAAGAATGAGAGCACGGCAGCTTCGCGAGAAACAACGTAAAGATAAATCGCCCGACGATGTCATTAAACAAATATTGACCACAGAAGTTGGCCTCAAACGGCTATCAAAGGGACGCAAATCTCCGGTTTCGACCTCTGAATTTGATTCAGACTCGACTGAAAGTGAAGAAAAGACGACCGAGTCCTCAAAACACACGGCGGATATTTGTGCGGAAATGTTTACTAGACAAGTTCGTTTTCAGTAAAACGAACAACATTACAATAATATAAGAATATTTTGTTGTCAAGTTTCATTTTACTGTTCGACTAAGTTAAATGTAATTTTATATTGCATATTAATGTACCTTAATCTAGATGTTGTAGCGAAAGAATATAGCCAAAAATTACTTAAAACCAAAACTGGTAAAATATTTGTCCTAACTCATAAACTACGACGACAAATGTCTTTCTTGATGGTACTTGTATTAATTTTATTCCATTATTTAACATTAGCGTAGAAATTTGAAAACTAATTATAAATGACTTATGCTGTTTTGGCTTTCATAAAATCTCTGTACCTGATTTTAATGCTAAGGTTACTTAAAATATAATGTCTCAGTTCGAGAAATCTTCTACTTCCAATTTGTAATTGTAATTATTTAATTAATTTTAGATGGCAGTGTTATCATCTGATTGCGCAACAAAAACTTTTTATTATTTATTTTTAATTTTAAGAAATGGTTTAGTTTGTATGCACGACATTTTAATGATTTTCTTAAGTATGCAGAAAATTTTGGTACTTTCTATTTTGCTTGAATTTACGTTGTAATTGTAGAATTTTGTCGGTTTTTTACTTAATACGTCTGTGATTTCGTATATATTAGCTTTTATCTTTATTGTGTTTTACTGTAAACATTATATGTTATTAAAATGTGCATTCTGAATAAATTGCTTATATTTTTTCCTAGTCATTAACTTTCGAATTTTATTGCTACACGTTTCGAATAGACTCATTATAGAACTTGTGAAACTCAACGAAAACTACTTTGAAGATTTGTCCATTTAGAGAAATACGTAGCGTACTATTATAATATCCTCTGGTTCCTAGCTTTGCTTCCATCATCACCTTTCCCGAATAGCATCAGCAGTTACGATCTTTTATTAGAGAACAATGCCCTCCCTATCCAGTCAGTCCTATTCCTAATTCCAGACGGCATGGTTGCCGTCATTGTCGTCGTAGAAATCTTTGTATGTCTATTTCATATTAATATCTTTTTATAAAAAGATCTTTTTTCAATTCCGTATAACAGTACGATCTTACGTAGATCAATAGATTCAATTATCTGTTACTACGGTCAAGCTCCGCCCTCGGATACCGTAAACGTACATATCTCCTAGTATCGTCGGACGTAAATTGGAAAGCTCCTCATTATCAACCAACGAACGTCACCGCACCTCTTAACACCAGCGGGTATTTGATCTACCTGCAATGTGCCGTGCCCACTACGATTTCAACCTCGCAATCGATGTAGACTAACATGATTTCCTGCGATTCATTCTTGATTCGATGTCGCAAGGATATATTATAGCCCTTTCCATTACAGTAAGTGATTTTGAGTCTTCTCGTAAGGTCTATTGTAAGCGAACACGTCTCATTACCGTGTATACTGCTCAAAGACTTTCCTCTTAAGATACTGCGGTATTTGGTATGAGAATATTCTGAGTACTACATGGTACACTACTACATGGGTATTCGTTATAATTTTCGTCTTGTCCATTTCATAATATCTAATCACAATTCAAATGCTCAATTGATGGAAGTAATGGGTATTGTGCCGTTCAAATCTAAACACAAACATACTGCTTTATATGTAGCAGTATGTGTTTAGATTCTAGAAGAACTAGGCAGAACGTTTTTCACCCTATGAAATTTTCTCAGAATTCAAATAGGTACTTCTGATTCAATCAATAAAAAGTGGTATGCATAAAACTTGGCAGCGGCTTGGCTTGGTAGGCAGCGACTTGGCTCTGCCCCTGGCATTGCTGACGTCCATGAGCGACGGTGACCACTTACCATCAGGTGGGCCGTACGCTCGTCTGCCTACAAAGGCAATAAAAAAAAAAGCTACTCATTTAACTTGCACTAATCGTACGTGTATTGTTTGCACTTTTCAGGCTGTGGCCTCTAATTTCTCATCGAATTTTTTTTTGCACTGCTGCAATCCGAGCGTTTGTATTATCAATATCAACAACAATAATTCAGAATTATATCTTTTATTTTTTACGCACTCAATATTAGAATCATAAAAACCATTATCCATAAAATTGTCTTATATTTTATTTACAAACTTACATACATTTAAAATTACATATGAAGTGGAATTCAGAAAGTTGGCGAGTTCATTTAATATTTTTTTCCAATAATATATTATACTCCTAACAACTTCCCAAATTTATAAAACATACCTACCTACACAACACCAATCATAAGAGATTTCTACCGAAATCAACTCCGTTACAAGATCATGTACTTTAATAGTGTACTATTAATATGTGGTGTAACAGCAGAGATCTTTTTACACAAACAATTTACAACATAATATAATACAAGTTAGTTATTCGACGTTCTACGCTAGTCAATCATATCTTTAGAATTCAGTCAAAATAATATAATACAATGAGGCTACTTCTACATGTTACACTGGGTCGCTTTTAAACAACACGACCTTCTCAATGAGATTTTATTATTTTATAGAAACTTTTGACTGATAATAGATTCCCTTGAAGCTGCTTACATGCTAAGCACAACTCCGAATATAACTTATTACTCGTAAACGTACCAAGGCAGTGATTAGATGCTATGCTACACTTTAAAAACGTAAAATTTACAATTCAGAAAGAATCACACCCTAAAGAAAAACATTTGAGGCGTGGACAGTTCAGAAGTAAGCTTATGTTACAATCGCTGCGTTAAAGTAATTTCATCAGTTTTCTTTTCAATTTATTTTTTGGGGTTTTACAAAAAACATATACAAATGGTGTGTAAATTTATAATTTAATTCTTCTATTGTTATTCACAAATAATAACCAGACACATGAATAGTCTTTTCATAGTCTAATTCGAGACATTATTAAGACCATATCATCTCGGCACAGAACCGTCTGCTTCATTGGGAACGAAAGCCCGGAAAATACATGTTCACATACAAAACGGTCCGGCATAAAATCTTAATCTTGGAGATAAATTAGACAAGCGTGAGTGTAGACATGTCGTCTTTTCGCATTAAAAGTGTACAATTTCCAAAATATTCGAAATTGAGATAATATGCGGAAGCATCATTGGTATCACCAGTATTTTTCTCATAAATACTGTCAAAAGAGCGTAGTTTAGTTTTAGTTTTTTTTTTAGTTTACTATGTTTTGACTACTATTAACAAAATTAATACATAATTTTATCTTACTTTAAAAGACAGATAATGTAACTGTTAAAATTAATTTTTTTTTTTGTAAAGATCCTGGAAAATTTAGTAAGTTTTGAGATTATACAGTTTTAAGGCGAGAAGACGATGTGTTTATCAAAGTTCGTCTACATTACTCCTGATTGGGCCAATAGCAAAAACAAAGAACCAACGAATGCGCTTCAATGATTACCGATTTCCCTCCCTTTTAAATCCCTCAGCAAGTAGATGAGCACGCAGCTTTTCTGATGGAAAGCGGACACCGCTGCCTATGAAAGCCGTCACTATGCGCTGATCGGACACTGTCAATGGTTAGCGTGACGTAATTAACTTTTAAAAGATCTTTCAATACTCGTGTACCAAATCAACGGTGCATGCTTACAGATGATCGGTTGAAATTAGCTTCTAGTACCCTTAATAATTTTATTCCATTTATTCAAGAATACGAGGCGTGAGATTGAAAGGCTTAAATAAAGAATCAGACCTTTAACATACAGATTTAATTAACTACAATAAAACAGCACCAAACGTAACGAAGGGGGAGCAACAATAGCTATTTACTTATGTTTTGTATTGATCTAGGATTAGGGAGCGTAGACATAAGGATGGCACGACCCTTATTGGAGCTAGAGGTCAAAGTTTCTAATGTATTATGTAATGGATAGCGTGGCGTTCGTCATCTTGATATTAACAATTCGTTTTCTACATTTACGATTTTTTTTTATTGCTTAGATGGGTGGACGAGCTCACAGCCCACCTGGTGTTAAGTGGTTACTGGAGCCCATAGACATCTACGACGTAAATGCGCCACCCACCTTGAGATATCAGTTCTAAGGTATCAGTATAGTTACAACGGCTGCCTTACCCTTCAAACCGCAACACATTACTGCTTTACGGCGGAAATAAGCAGAGTGGTGGTACCTACCCGCGCGGATTCACAAGAGGTCCTACCACCAGTAATATGATGTACAGTAGATGTCTGAGGAATTTGCGTGTGAAATTAGTCTTAATAGACAAATCATAATTTTACATTAAAATCTTTTTAGTAGGAAATCATATCATAATGTAATCGGAAAAACATATGAGGATTATGTACAGGAGTTTAATTGAGGAAGCCGCGACACTGCGGCGCGCCACATAAGCACGGAATTTTCTCATCTTCGAGCGGGAACTTGTAGTCGTATGTAATTTCCTCGTCGACACCGATCGGCTGTTTTGAATATATCACGATTTTCTTCTGTGACTCAATTGTTATGATTTTAGCGTAGCAATTCGGCTGAAAAAATACAAAAAATTATTTGTTAATTAAATTTGATACACAAATACATAAATATGATACTGTGACCCACAAAGCTAATGCGATAAGAACGGGCTAGAATATTATTGCAATTATCTATACAAATAAATGAAATTGGAGTGTCTGTTTGTAATAATAAAAAAAACACTATTTACTAAATGCGTATGTATACACAGTATATTACATACACCCAAATAACATTTTTTTTAATTTTGTCTGTCTGTTTGTTCCGGCTAATCTCTGGAACGGCTGGACCGATTTTGACACGACTTTCACGGATAGGTAGCTGATGATATAAGGAGTAACTTAAGCTACTTTTTTTTAGACCAGCTTCGCCCCGCGGCGTCATCCGCGGTACGACAATAACCGCGCGGGACTAGCTAGTATAAAATAAGATAGAAGAAATGTACCCGGGTCCCAAGTTACTTTACCATGATATTGTCAAATTTGGACTTTATCGTCCAGTACTCAATCACTTATCAGTTTAGCGTGGCGATCGTTTTTTTTTATTGCTTAGATGGGTAGACGAGCTCACAGCCCACCTGGTCTTAAGTGGTTGCTAGAGCCCATAGACATCTACAGCGTAAATGCGCCATCCACCTTGAGATATAAGTTCTTAGGTCTCAGTATAGTTACAACAATTTTCTTGTCTTCAGTAAACACATTGGTCGGACTCACATTACAACTGTGGTTGATGAACCGGGCGAGGTTCCCGCACTTGGTGGCGTCGATGATGGTGTCGAGGTCGATGCGGAAGAGGTAGGAGCTGCCGATGCCGGTGGCCTCGTAGTGCGCCTCGCGTACGTCCGCCACTATGGGCCGGATCATCTGCCCGACGTACTCGATCACCATCTCGTCCGCCGCTATCGGCTCCTGCAATGTCGCAATACCTTCAGTTGACTAGCTTTTTTCTGTCTCATGACCGGATACTCCACTAGGTATTCGCACCACAGAAATAGGATCAGGACTGATTAATTTTTTTTTTTTGCTTATGTTAAGTGGTTACTGAAGCCCATACACATCTACAACGTAAATGCGCCGCCCACCTTGAGATATAAATTCTAAGGTCTCAGTATATTTACAACGGTTGCCCCACCCTTTAAACCAAAACGCATGATTGCTTCACGGCAGAAATAGGCAGGATGGTGGTACCTACCCGTGCGGACTCACATGAAGTCCTACCACCAGTACAAAAATACCTATCTCACAACTTTACAATGCGAAGGCGAAGGGTTACATTTTCAATTGGCAATGTTATCCTTCCTTCCTCCTTCCAATGTTATCCTTTATCGGAGAAAACCTTCTCCCTCTTACTCTTTTTTATTCTTTAATTTTATTGCCTTTGTAGGCAGACGAGCATACGGCCCACTTGATGGTGAGTGGTTACCGTCGCTCATGGACTTCAGCAATGCTAGGGGCGGAGCCAAGCCGCTGCCTACTCCATCGGCGTTTATATTCCAGAGTATTCGACTGTACTAATGTAGCTGTAGAAGGTATTGACATACCTGAGCGAACAGGCCCCAGTCGTGGATACCAGACTTAGCAAACTTAAGCTGCTTCTTTCTGAACTTGAGCTGATTGAATTTCAGAAGATCGGAGTCCGTGTCGGTTCCTGTAATCAAAGTCACGTTAGCACACTCATTTTGCTCCAACAAAAATAGGAAAACTTGATATAAAAAAAAAACTTCGAAATAGATCACACCATTAAAGCCAACATTATAGCGTGTAAAGCAATAGCGAACTTATTTACTCGTTCTTCATGCAATCCGCCATAATAATTTAGAGAAAGGAGTATTCTATCTCAATTTCTGTCAAAAACTTTAGACTTAGGTACTACTTTAGCTCGAAGTAAACTATACTATTCTGATTCTTTTTGGCAGAAAGTTACACAATCCCTTTTTAAATAGATAATTTAAACCCGATCGCTAATGTTAACGGTATGATAAACATTGATTATTTCAAGATGCTGTGACGCCACCTATCGTTTGTAGAGGGTACTTTGATAAAGAGAGTGCTAATAAGTACAGTGCTACAATCATCACAATCAGATGGAAGGTTTATATATAAGTCATAGAGCAGTGGTGGGCAAAAATTTTTTGGCTGCTTTTTGGGCAAAAGTTTAAGAAATTCTAGAGGAGGGCCAAAATTATAGAAAAAATGCATTTTGTATTAAAGCTTTTTAATAAACAAAATACCTTTTACTTTTACGCCTTGTTAAGCGTGAGACATATGAAATTGTTTTTTACGCGGCTAGTTTAGCTTCACCGATAGATGAGGGAAAATAATGTTTTTTTTTAATAAACAAACTAATACTTGTGACAGACTGTCGAGATAATTATAATGATGGCAAGTTAATTATGAGATAATAAAAGCTCAAAACACCCCTGACGAATTGGAGCTTTCATTAAAAATTCCAAGATTTTCAATTATAAACGTCAGATTTTATTTTACGCGTCAAAATGCTGACTACAATATTTAGGATGGATGGACTCTCGGCGGGCCGGATTAAATAGTTCCGAGGACCGGAGATGGCCCGCGGGCCGTACTTTGCCCATCACTGTCATAGAACATAAACACAAACAGACGTTCACTTGTATTCATACATACTAGATAGTTTTCAGATGTAAATTGAAATGTAAAATATTTAAAAAATATCCATACCGAAAGCCGTGAGCAATCTCCTCTGGTTTGACCTAGCTTCCCTCGATAGCAGTTGCATCTTGGAAGCTTTCTTATCATCAGGCGGCGCTTGTATCGCGGCGGCGGTGGTGCGCCCGTGGTGATACTTGTACTTGGCTTTTATCTTCGCGTCCAGCTTGTAGTATCCTTCCGTCCGCGCCGACCCACTCGAGTGACCCTGTTTAAGATAAATCATATGACGATTTGAATGAATTTCGTTTTATGATTCCTGGTGATGTGAATACGAATTTTTGAACAACCTAGATATCTATACTAAAATTATAAAGCTGTAGAGTTTGTTTCTTTGTTTGGTTGAACACGTTAATCTCAGGAACTACTGGTCCGATTTGAAAAATTATTTCAGTGTTAGATAGCCCATTTATTAAGGAAGGCCATAGGCTATATAACAGCGGTCGGGGAACCGGGGTAAATTACCCCAAATGGGGTAAAATGAAATTTTGGGGGATAAAAATGAAACTTTCGTGAGTAAAAAGTATATATTGAAGTGAAACTTCTTTAGAATCGTTGTGATTTCAAACTCGATGAAACGAGACGAAAAAATAAGTCCATAGAGACACAAACACATAAATGTATAGGATTCAGCCGGCGAGAGAATGAGATAGAACACATTATTTGGAAACACAAAGTTCACGTGATTGACCCAGGTATTTTATTGGGGGCTATAATATGAAAGATGCTAAAAAGAAGCGATTTCGTTTTTTGTTTTTCGCCATGGGGTGTTATCAACTTACACAAAAATATTTTGGGGTAATAATTGAAAAAAGTTCCCCGACTGCTGCTATATAACATCACGTTAAGACTAATAACGAGCGGAGCACTTATAACCTTCTCTTTTGAAGTCGATTAAAAAGCGTGCTTTTGGTAACTTAAATAGCTCCTTAACATTCTATTATTCAACAATATTTTCACAGTAAAATTTTAAGCGTGTTGGATATTTTAGGTCAAGTCAATTGACCTTCTCTTTGTTTCTTTGACGTAAAACGTCAGGTCCCCTATTTAAGTTAGTGAACAAAGTTAATAAGTCTGGTTGAGACCTGTAGGTCCTCGTAGATGTTGTTGTGCCGCTTGGACTTCTTCCTGGGCGGGCCGTAGAGCACGTCGGTGGGCGGGTGGTCGACCCAGTGCGTGTCGTTGAGCCAGTAGCCGTGCGCGTCGCCGCTGAGCAGCGCCTCGTACGCGCGGCGCAGGTACTCCACGTCCTCGCGGTCGATGCCGCGCGTCAGGAACTCGTACATCACCGTCATCTCGCCCATGATCTCGCGCGCCGCGAACTGCACGCCCCCCGCCGCCGGCTCGTGTAGCCTGCAAACGGTACATTTCACTCTACCTGCTCCCAGATACATTCACGGTTCATATACGTTTTAATTCGTTATTTTATCATTCATTGAACACGACAAGTATTTAAATAATAATCAACAATTGCTTGATTTGTCATTTCGGATCCTCCCGATCCACTAACGGTGCTTTTAGGTACCTCAAGCACCGGTCATCGTTCTCGTCGAACCCGTCGCTTGCGACGAAAGACTCGACGAGTAAATTAACCCTCAGACACAACCCACTGAGTTTCTCGCCTGATCTTCTCAGTGGGTCACGTTTCCGATTCGGTGGTAGATTCTGCAGTGCACGGCTCTTTGCTAGGGTTCGTGTTAGCAACGTCGCCAGGTTCGAGCCCCGTCAGCTCACCTACTAGTTAAGGCTATCAGCTTAGGTAAGAAAAAAAAGCTTGATTTGATAATATCTAAATATTAATACTCACTTGTTTTGTATCTCAGATAATTTTTTGGTTTCATGTTTCCGTTTATAAGGTCTCTTCTCTTGGTTACTGGATTCAGTTTGCGGTGGCTCCGGGACAGGAGAGGTGCTTTCTGGTTCGGCCATCCATGTGTAACCTAATGAGAAACAGACGAAATATTTTGGTTAGCTGTCGAAATTACAGAACAGATATAATAGTATTGAGTCTTCTTAAGCGGTCAAAAAAAACCGTCGACCTGTAGTTAAGCGGATACCAACACTAGTATACCATTATCAAAAAAGACAACCAAAGCGTAATTCACTTATAATTTAACTTTCACTTATAATTTAACTTCGAAAGTTAATTGAGTTGAAACAATTATCAAATTACAATTTTTGTGAAGTTTTAATCATTTATAAACATAAGTCTAATATCAATCACAATGCATGACGTCATATGTGGCTAGCATTGTGCTTTAGTTTACATTCTATGTTTCAGTAATATTATTTGCATCAATTGCACCACCCGTCAGTAGAGGCAGGTTACTGTCGCCGAAATCGACATGTAAAATATCCTTATCGTCTATGCTTATTTTAGCCATGAACGCATTTTTATAAAGTTCCGTATCCGTAAAGTATCTTTCTCCATTGAAATAGCGGTACATTTATATTTACGCCGGTAAGAGTAACGCCATCTATCGCCGAATAGTCGAATGAATATCGAAGGATCTAGTAGCATCTAGAACACTCGAGAAGTACAACGCCATCTATTGTCAGATAGCGGAAACACAATACTCGAAATGTGTGGAATATTCTCGATAATCGTAGAGATATGGTATCGGCTATAAAAGCGTTGCAGGAATGGCACGCAGTCAGTCAGTAATCGGAACTACTGGAAGCGAAACAGCGAACGGACCACCTGAAGCGAAACGGAAGAAGCGAATTGAGTTTTAAAGTGTTTGTTGAGTGTTTTGAGTGTTCTAAGTGCTAATACAGTGTTAACTTGTAATTCGATAGAATTATTATTTATTCCGAGCCCCGGCGCGTAACAATATAAGCCTTCTTTAATATTCAGACACACTTATCATAATAGTATAGGTACGTCACCGTGATCATGATGCAGATGGTTGGAGAGTCTCGGTTCTGCGTCGGGCGGCGGCCTGCAGTACGAGTGGTCGAGCGCCACTTGAGACGCTTGAGACGCCTGCGACAGTTGTGACGCCTGGGACGCTTGTGACGTCTGTGACTGCGGCGACCACGTCTCCGACACAGCGCTGCTACCCTGCAACATACCATATCACATGTATCTCAATTCAAACAGCTCTACTATAACATAATGAATTGTTATATTAGTAATAATAAATAATAAAAGCCTTTATTCAGACGCAAATAGGATATTTACAAATAATAAACTTAAATTAACGATCTGCCGAGTCGATGATATCGACAACTTCGTCTCTTTGCCCAAATACTATCCCCTTGTCTCAAACGAATGCGCCTAAAACAAAATGTACGGAACACCTATATATAGCAACACACAATACACTCTCTCTAATGAATTGTTAGAGAATATTAATGTAACTAGAATGAACATAAGCTCAGGATTGGGTAAATCGAAGGAGGTTGAAAGTAGCATCGGTGGCTGAAAAGTTTAAGAATAATGTTAACTTGGTGGTGATTTTGTGATGCAGGATAAAGATAATAATTTAATATCGAAATGTGTACGTGAATTTATGAAGGCATATTGTATGTAGATAAATATCATGTGAGTAAATAAGATATTGGAGAATTTGTACATAAAGGTGTGGGTGTATGGGGAACCGGCTGATAGGGTTGAGTAGAAGTACAACTCGTGCTGTCTCGAATCGGAAGCCGGAAGGAAACTAGAAACATCGTACTCTTTCACAATCTAAACTATATTCATTCAATTAATTCAACTAAGCTATTTCATTACAATAATCAAACAAACGAACCAATTCAATGTGACATGTCCGTCTTCTAACGAAGCTTAAACAGAGTACAGAACGTCTTGAGATTGCTGACATTCACGTGAGACAGTCAACATTCACTACCAACGCCTTTGAAAACGTTAACACGTACCTTATTTGGTACTTGAATTAGTTAAATTGGCTTACATCCTTAACACCATTAACTCCATTGGCGGTCTCGGTGTTACTGTCGCTTGCGGAGATAGCTCGCTGTCGTTTTTCAATTTTCTTAGAGCGTCGCTCCTTCTTCCTACGACTTTTGAGCGTCTCGTCCTCCGAAGTGATCTCGCCGTCTTCGATTTCCGTGTCCGGCTTCTTCTCGGGAGATTTAATGTGATTCTTAATTGGACTGCTTATGGGTGCATCTGGTTTGCTGTCGTGTGTACTGTGAAATGAGAGTGTGATTATGACAAACTATTTGATTTTTTTTCAAAAGTCTTCTTCATTTGTAGGTTCTATTGTTACTGTTTATTGAATACACAATAATAAAACAGACCTTACATCTCGCTAAAACGGCCAAATTAGATAGGTAATCTGTCCTTAGCTAAATAAATATTTGAATAAGATTTGTTTGAATAATGTTGTTCTCGTAAAAGTTTATTAGCTTCAGGCTATTTCTAATAATGAGTATGATGGTGGTGAATCTAAAATGAAAGTATATATTTTTTTTGTTCTTTGCGGACATGGTCATGGTCTACTTAGTAATGTATTATCACCACAAAAATCACAACGTGAATGGCGCCTCTCATATTGAGAGATGAGGTCTATTGCATTGTACATAGGCGTAAAGTGATACGGATGTTTAAAAACCAGCTCACCTGTCGTCGGGAGGTTTCTCAGGCTGCGGCTGGGTGTCGACTTCCATCTTCTGTCGTTGTTCTTCCAAGAATTCTCGTTCTATTTGTTCCATGTACTCGGTGTTTCGTCTTCGCCTTTCCTGTGGAGTTTATTTAGGTTTTTTTAGTCAAGATTCTTCAAGAAAATAGTCCAATCATTCTACAGTTACAAAATTGGGTATTATTATATTTTATACCATAGCAGATGATATTAAGAGTCCGTAGTAGAACTAATCTGATGGTGGTAATACCCGTCTACCTTAAGCACAAACACCTTGAGGTAAAAATCTCAATAGTATGCCGCACGTTCCAAGCCAAAATACAACATGGCAATGAGTACTCCGCGTTAAAAATAAGTAATTTAACCATCTTCCTCTTTTTTATGTTGGTTTGCCAAACCCAGAATTTTCATTCTCGAGGATTGAGAGCACTGTTCAACACAACCACAAATAGATGTTTGTGGCAATATCACTTTAATATGGACTAATTGTAAAAGAGATAGTCTTCAATCAACAGACCTGATATTCCCTCTCTTCTTCAGAGTCAGAGTACACTCGATCCAATATTAAATCTCGTGGCCCTTCAGGAGACATGATGGGCGATCCTAACCTCTCTTCCGTGTCTGACGCTTCTACAGGCGGTATTGGAGTCTTTTCTAAAATTCATAATAGTTGTTAAAGCATAGGTATCGACTATGGTTGTAGTTAAAATAATATGATTCCTTGAAAGCCAAAAATTTTATTGAATAGAAATAGTATAGGAAATTTAACTGTGCGATAACTATATTAAGAACATAAACATTATGTCGTTTAGAATACAGGACTTGGCCTGTATCCAGTTTTTATACTATTTGTAAGAAAATAAGAGTACCTCTCATTCTGCTCTCCTCTTCGCTGTCAGAAGACGAGTAGACACGTCTTAACCTTTCTTTATTTGACACAACCTTGAGCTGCAGACAAACAAATACTTTCGTTTACAATACAAATATCAAGCGTCCTAAACATTGGCTATAAGTACAGCCAGCACTCGCATTGCCGGAAAGAGACAGAGTATGCCCTCTCAACTCCAGCTTACAACATTAAAAGACAGATAATACGCCCAGTGCGACGTACCTCGTGATTAAACTTTGGCGGTGTTCAAATAAAGGGAATACTTAAGTAAGATATGTATGTACATTAGAGAGGCTTCTATGAATGTACAATTTTGCTTAATAAATAGTATTCCCGAATAATTGACATTTTACGTAATTACTCGGGGCGGGATGGCGTTCAATTGCTGCCGTGATGCGTCACGGGTTCCACTTGGAAGAGTGGGGCAGCCGTTATACAATACATTTGAGACTACGTTCTCAAGTTTCAAAGTGGTGCTGGCATTCACGGTGCAATAGGTTCCAGCGATGTTCTAATAAGTGGACTGCGAGCTCCTTCACCGGTCATTACAAAAATGTGTAAATATAAGTTCTCTTTACCTACATTTAACACGTTTTGTTATAATGGTATGATTATGTCAAAAACAAATTGAATGTTTGAATTTACTTTAAAAATAGAATAACACTGTCAATTAAATGATCGATTACCTCAGCCTCGTCTAGTTCTGAATCGTCATCAGTATCAGAATATATCCGGGGCGCGGGACCCTTGTGTTCCGACTCTGATTCCTCCGACTCATCCGACCTACTTGATGATGATGATGATGACCTGTGATATAAATATATTTTTAGAAATTTATTAATGTCATAAATTGGTGGAAATTTTGGAAACGTAGAAATATACATGTTGTCTAAATTTAATAAAATTCAAGAATTTAATATATTTTTGATTCGTGTTTTAATTTCTACAAAGTAAGATACTAACTTAATAATAAAAAGATATAAATCAATTGTACAAAAAAAAGAGTCTATATATGAGATATTTATACAACCTAGATGAACTGCTGGACTGTCGTCTCCTACTCCTAGACAAATATGATCCTGTACTTCTGTTCCTAGGGCTGGTCGGAACTTCTTTTTCCTCGTCCGAATGCTGCACCATCTCTTCCTGTAAAAAAAAAACACATTTCAATATCCTTAATGACTCTCTTATTTATAGCCTATCTAGAATTCAGCACAAATTGTAACTTATGTAAGTGACTGAAAGAATTTTGCTCTTTAATAAGTAGCCCGGCCGACTTATTGTGCATATCCCGGTATGCAATACCAGGCACCTAGTGCTACTTATACATATCTATCAGAAGTCTTATTTTATTTTGCAACAAAGTAATTCGGTTATGGGTGGCTTATTCTACCAATGCTCAGAGACAGTCAAACAGGATGGTGGTACATATCAATGTGGACTTAAAAGAATACCCGAAAAAAGTGGATTGTTCAATATTATAAAGAATTTGTACTCTTATATACCTGATCACTGAGCCTCTTCGACGAGTCCTCATCCATAAGAACAGGCGAAGGAATCTTCCTTTTTTTTCTAAAGCTTGGCATTTTGGGTATAGCAGCGCGCAAGCCCAGACCTATACCAATACCGTAACCACCCAGATCTAGACCCAGCTCTCGAGACTCCATTATCGACTTTATAGAATCCACAGCTTCCTCTTTTTTATTGGAAATATCCTGAAATAAGGCAAACATATTTGCAATGTGGTATGAAAATACCGGTATACTATTTCATTTTTACAGCAAATAGTAAATACAAACAAAGAATATATCAATAAATATACAGTACTGTGTTGAGAAATGTAATGCGAAATCAACAAAAAACAAAATGTTGTGTCCTACCTGTAAAGGTTGGTTATCTTCTTTAGGCTTGACCTGTCTCATTTTCCTGCTCTGTTCGTCCCACCAAACCTCGAAGTTTTTGAAGGCGGTGTTCTCTATCATTTTCTTGTTGAAGTCTTTCTTCAGTATTTGTTTTAACTCAGCCGTGACTCGTTCTATTACGCTGTTTATCGTTGAAAAGTGGGGATTATCTAATTCCTGAAAAATAGTTGTTTTATTTTGAAATAAATCTAGGATCTAGGAAATTCGGTCTCGGTCAATGAAGTTATAATTAGACATACAATACATTTTATGTTAGTCGTACTACTAGAGAGCATTGATTTAAGATGACCAGTTTAAGCTTAAGTTAAGCTAAATGTTTTTTTCTACGTTTAAATCATATCCATATTTATTGCTTTTTGGCTCTCGAGAGTGGTTTCCTTCCAGCATATATAGAACAAATGCTTGGTAGGCAGCGGCTTGGCTGTGCCCCTGGCATTGCTGAAGTCCACGGGCGACGGTAACCACTCACCATCAGGTGGGCCGTATGATAGTCAGCCGACAAGGCAATAAAAAAAATGCAGTTATTAACCTGCGCATGTGTCTGCGGGCCGCTGTAGGTGGCGTAGTGTGTCGGCAGCACGGGCGGCGGGAAGCCCGGCGCCGCACCGTACGGCACCTCGCCCGCCGCGCCCGCCCGGTACGGAGGGGGCGGGTACGCTGCGCACATGCACGACAATTAATATGATGGATTCTTATTCCATGCATAATTTCTATTTTTTAAATGTTCTTCTCATATTGAACTTTTTTATAATATATTATGATGATCAGTTTGCTTATGCGACCATGTTAAGGATTTTATAAACATTTCTTAAAAAAAATTTGTCTATAGATCGAAAATACAACATAATAAAAAAATCCACACGATCCACACTGTAAATAGATTTTTTATAAAATAAGAGCATTCGAATTCGATTTACTATAGATAGCGATATTTACGTACTTGGCTTGGCCTCATCACTAAATTAGTACGCAGCGTAGTGAGAGCTCATTGATACCAACATTTTTTTACCAGTCTCTTTAAAAAACGGCTTATAAAGTTCCGAAGAACATCGCTACCCATCCCGTGAGATGATATTGAGATCTCAATTCCATTGTATAACGGTTATCTCATCATTTAAGTCAGAAAAACGGCCAAAACAGGTAGGAAGGTCATACGCGTGTAGAATTAAATTAGCTCCTGCCAGTAGTAAGCCTAGCTACCACCAGTCGATAGGCGATCGCAATATGCTAGTATACTCAAAGAACGATGTTACTCATTCTCCGATGAATCCCTTTGTCACCTTTTACGGAACCCACGAAAAGAGTTGATGTGGGGCTACTCTAGATTGAGACCGCGCAGACACTTATAGTAAAATTAAGTTATTTTAATATTATACCTGTATGAGGCCACATCGGCGTCTGGTAGTAGTGCGGATGTGGCGGATGTGGTGGGTAGTAGTACGCCTCTGCGGGCACTTGCTCTTCAATTTTAGCCTCCGTCGAAGATAATGATGACAGCGACATCTAGGTAAAACGATACAAAATCTGAATAAATTTTAATTCATTCTACTTTTAAAAACATAACAAGAAACACTAACGCACAACGAAAATGAGAAATTCCAAAATGTCTTTAAACGTAAATAAAATACTCTTAGTGCATAATCTCGTTATTATTCGAAAATAAACCAATATAGTTAGTATTTGGGATATCGGGAAATTATAAAACGATATATACAATGATCTGATGATAATCAATCAATTTACTGGTGTTTTTTTATTTATTGCCCTTTTAGGCAGGCAGACGAGCATACGGCCCACCTGATGGTGAGTGGATACCGTCGCCCATGGACTTCAGCAACAGAACAACTGACTAATTCTTACAACTCCCCCAACTCGTACGAATTCTCTAAATCTATATATTAATAGGTGATGCAAAAACTTTTTATCCCTTTTTACGAAAGTTGCGCGGACGGAGAAGTATGAAATTTTCCACACTTATAGAGAATATAGAAAAGAAGTGCACAATCCTAATATTTTTTTAAATAATGCATAAAAGATACATTTAATCAATAAAGAAAAATTACACACTCTACCATGTATTTGACACACACACGTATGCATACTATTTATTTATTGTCGAACTTTTGTTCTTGACGTCTGTGGTCAAATTGAGAATAGATTTAAATATTGTTTGTCTTTATTAATATTTTTCTATAGTGTAATCTTGGCGTTGAAAATACAATCATAATAGTTTACAAACTTACAATTCCAATTAATTATAGTCGATTTTCGACTACTACGGGACCTCTAGTTCATTTAAATATTCGCAATCGCCTGGTCGGAGGTAATTCAAGTGGATTCGCGAAGCACGATACCTGATCGTCATCTAAGTTGTCTTGGTCGCGATCTTGACTGGGCGGCGCGGCCGGAGAGCGCCTCGGCTCCTCGCCCGTCAGCAGCTCGTCTTCGGAGGACGATATGTCGGACCCGATCTTGTCTATCGCCGGAAGTAGCTTGCGTTGTTGCTGTCTCGCTTTCTGCACGTAACAAACATAACGTAACGCATATTGAACGTGTCGAAATTCAAATTTACTTAAACCTGTAGATAATTACTAAATATAGATTTGACTATCTACAAGAAAAAAAAATACAAGTGTGATTGTTTAGATATACTATATACCTACTGGTGGTAGGACCTCTTGTGAGTCCGTACGGGTAGGTAGCACCACCCGCCCATTTCTGCTGTGAAGCAGTAATGCGTTTTGTTTTGAAGAGTGGGGCAGCTGTTGTAACTATAGTGAGACCTTAGTACTTATATCTCAAGATGGGTGGCGCATTCACGTTGTAGATGTCTATGGGCTCCAGTAACCACTTAACACCAGGTAGGCTGCGAGCTCATCCACCCATTTAAGCAATCAAAAAAAAAGTATTACTAGAAACCGGCACCTACTTTAGCCACAGTTATCTTGAGACACTCCAAATATAATTCTCTGGATAAGTACGGCGAGGGTGTTGTGGACAAGGGCTCGGGGTCAACTTCGCTTGTTTGCGAAACAGATACTATGCTCTCTCTGTCTTCACTGGCTGAACCTGAAGAAAAAACCAGACTCAATTATCATTCTCAAATTTTGGACAGTGAATATTTCCGGTATTTCTTCATTCTGTAATTTTTATGTATTTTTTATCGATAATATTTATGTATCCATTTTATAGATGTACTTTGTTACATTCAGAAGATAATATACCTAAAATCTGAAGTTAGACTGTACTGGAACTGATGGTTTAGCGTTTTGGGATCACGGGCTGGTACCACCACCCTGTTCATTTCTGACGTAAATCAGTAATATGTTTCGGTTTGAAGGTTGCGGCAGCCGTTATCGGCCACCATCGTATAAGAGTGACACTTGGGACTATATTGATGTCTGTGGGCTCCAGCGAACACTTCGCACCGGGTGGACTGTTAACTCCTCCACTTGTCTAAGCAACAAAAAAATAAAAATAAACTCGCTATCCACTTCGATCAATGTTGTTATTGTGTATCTTGTTATTTGTAGATCGGGATACGGGCTCACCTAGTGTTCGTTTATATCTGAATCACATATACAGTATGAGCAATTCGAGAGCAATTAAAGGGTATTTAGTACGTTTCTGTCAGATTCATGTACATATATAATTCTGTCACACAAATTGAAGTTAACACAACTACCGCTTTTAAAAAACTTTTAATCAATGCACTTTTTTAAAAAATACCTTCATCGTCAGTGGGAGGGTTGTGTGCATCAAGATCTGGTATTTTCGAAGGCAATCTATCATCGTCTTCTTCTTCCGAAGACATTCCTAGAGACAAGAAAGGAGGGGCGAGCCCCCCACCGCCGGTAGCGCCTTTGAGCAACATCGCTATTCTGTTAAAATAAAAACACTGCTATTTCTTTTCATAAAACAAGGCTATTAAGAGTGTCTGTGAGTGTATTTTAAATGATTGATATAAACGATTTTAATGGATTCGCTGGCCAGCTGCAAGCATTGATTGGCACCCGGGAACGCTTTTCACGCTACGTAAATAGTTTTCAGAAAAATAATAAAAATATGATAGGTACGTGATCAATTTTGAATGCCAAAATTTTATATCACATCTGTTATAACTATGAGTCTTAGACCTAATGTCTCAAGGTCAATGGTAGCACTAATATTGTGACGTCTATGGGTTCCAGTAACCACATAACATCTAGTCTGATATGCTTTATTCATTCACTAACATAAGCCCCCCATTAATTGCTATGCTGATTTATCAATCCAAAGTCCACAAGTAAAGTCAGACGGGGTCGTAACACTGAGTTAGCTCAAGCTGAAGTTAAACAAAACACAATATGGAAAAGTATTGTGAATTTGTTTGAAATATTATCACAATATAATTTACCTAGTATCAAGATCAACATTTTTAGATTCTTCAGCAGGAGGGGGAGGCTTCGTCTCAGGTTCTTTGCCGTCTGCCTCGTCTTCGGGAGGATGAGGTTCCACTACATCAACCACTTTATTCTCAACCGACGGCGTTTCCTGCAGTAAAACATAATTTAAATATTTGCTTAATAAACGAATTTATGTAGTGTTTTTGTGTACAATGCCTACATAGAATGAATAAAGTTATTTGTTTGACATAAGACACACATGCATGTTAAAATAACAACAATAATGGGTTTGATGTTATTATTAGTGACAATGTAGTATGGATTACACCTGACACCTAACAAAAAATAATTGATTTAATAATGTCTCATTGTGCATACAAAAATGGAATATGTGTCCCTATATAAAGGTTTATAATAGTTCATTGTATGAGTGAAGATGTGACCTTATGATTGTCGAGTCCCGGGGTCGGCTCGGGCGAGCGTTCCGGGGGCGCGGTGACGGCGGCGGGGGGCGGGTGCGGCGCGGGGGCGGGAGCCGGGGCGGGGGCGGCGGTCCAACTAGCGCCACTCGTGGCTCCCTCCAACTTTATTACCATTTTTTTTTATATTCGATATTTAAACATTGTATTCGAGAAGATATTTTTAATTTTTTTTTAATTGATCACTGTCAGGAAATGTTGGAAAACAATGATGTGTATTCATTTTAGTTACATTTTGTGAGATGAACACAAAAATAATATGATGAAAGGATAATCAAAACATATTGACGCGTATTTTAATTAGCTATGCAAAACGCGTTATTCTTCTAATTGGTTAATAATATGTTATCACTACATAGTATAAAACAAAGTCGCTTTCTCTGTCCCTATATCCCTAGGTATGCTTAAATCTTTAGAACTACGCAACGGATTTTGATGTCGTTTTTTCTAATAGATAGAATTATTGAAGACGAAGGTTTATATGTATAATAACATCCATTAAATAGTGTAGAAATCAATAACAAATTACAGTTTCCGAAGCGAAGCGAGTGCGGGTCGCTAGTACACTAATAATACCCTGTTTCTGTTTATTTTTTTTAGAATTGCAGAATATTATACGAAATCGTCTCTTAAAAGCCAATGGTAACTGTAACGTTCCAAGGTTAGAGGTGAAACAGCACTATCTTTAGTAGGAATCAAACAGAACAGCGCCAGTCTCAAGGAATTAAGGAATGAGCTACCGTGACAGAAATCGTATTTTTATCACGACCGAAAACGACTAACCAGCACGAATTGATGAAAAAGATACAAATGTAGTGAAAACAAAATCGACTGAATATGAAAATATAAATAATTCCATATTTTAAAAATAAAATTAATTTAAATTTATTGGTAGCCATACATAAATTATAAATCAAACGGCCGGTATTGGTAAAACGGCAACTTCATAAGTGAATTATTATCCATTATAAACCTATTAAAAGTTAATGAAATCAACCCAAGAAGTTATTTATTTAAATTAATTATACAGAAACAAATCATAGGCTCTTGGGTTCTCTCGTAATTTTTACCGTGTTAATGACGATCGACATTGACGTAGATCACAGATGACGATGATACGTTTGTACAAGAGACGTGTAGCAGATGTAGGAGAGTACTAACATGTGAGTGATGTCCGTGCTGCGGGTGTCTCCAGTCTCCCCACCACACGGCGCCGGGCGTGCTGCTCGCGGTGTACCCGTACCCGTACCTGCCAGGAAACCACATTTATATGTATTTCATGAATGTTTTTTTTTATTGCTTAGATAAGTGGACGAGCTCACATCCCATCTGGTGTTAAGTGGTTACTGGAGCCCATAGACATCTACAACGTAAATGCGCCACACACCTTGAGATATAGTTCTAAGGTCTCAGTATAGTCACAACTGCTGCCCCACCCTTCAAACCGAAACGCATTACTGCTTCACGGCAGAAATAGGCAGGGCGGTGGTACCTACCCGTGCGGACTCACAAGAGGTCCTACCACCAGTAAGAAAGTGTTTTTGTCCAGTTGGTACGATTATTGTGGAACAAATTTAAACATAAGACATTTACTAGCTTCGATTCTCAATTATGTTTAATAATCAACTAATCAAAGAGAAGCCGTCGCCTAAAGAATAAGAAGACCGGGGCATTCGTGTCGAGCGATGCAACGGAGTTCGAATCCAGCAGGCGAGATTCCTACTTAACGAATGTTCACGATTGACTTCCTCGGTGAAGGAATAACATCGTGTAATAAAAATGAAACCCGCAAAATTATAATTTGTGTCAATACCGTCTTTACCATAAGGACACACGGGGCCCGTGCCCAGGGCCCCCATTCTCAGGGGCCCCCGAAAGACCGACAATTTCTCTCACCACACGTTTATTCTCAAAAAATTTTTGTCGGGCAAATTACACTTTTTTCACAAATCAGTAATCAGAAGGAATTTACAAGGCATATACTATGCCTATAATAGAAGATTTTGCTCAACAGAAATCCCGAAAGAAACCGTTATTGAAATCATAACCAACAAACCAGTAGCATTCTAATATCATTAATGACATATTATATCGTACTGTATTTGATTATGTATAATAAATGGTCATACTCAGTAAAAAAATGTTATTATAATTCGCTTTTTTTACTTTCCAAAAGGGCCTCAAATTCTTGTGTGCCCAAGGCCCCATCCTAGTTTAAGACGTCTCTGATTTGTGTAATTACTGGTGGTAGGACATCTTGTGAGTTCGCACGGGTAGGTATCACCGCCCTGCCTATTTCTGCCGTGAAGCAGTAATGCGTTTCGGTTTGAAGGGTGGGGGCAGCCATTGTACTGTTAAAGCTGAGTGAGACCTTACAACTCGTTTCTTGTGGTAGGTGGAGACATTTACGTTGTAGACGTCTATGGGCTCCGGTAACCACTTAACACGATGTGAGTCCGTTCATGCATCTCAACTATAAAAAAAAAAATTACTCACCCCTGTTGGTAGTAAGGATCATATGGTACAGCAGGAGCCGGGGTATAGGACACGTCGGGGGCGTGACTCGGCGCTGTGTAAGCGGGCTCAGTACTATCCGTCGTACTGCGCGCGTACCTCTCTCTTTCTCTTTCTCTTTCTCTATACCTAAGAAGTTTATATTATTAAACTACATAATTAAGGTGTCTGTCACACTCAGAACATAGAAATCAAACTATAAAATAATACTGCATAAAGTACAAGTCATTCTCATTTACAACATTTTATGGCCCGTCGGTAGCACAGCGTTAATGCCACCTCTCTTCAAGCAGTATCTTTGTAGATCCACTTTAAATAAATTATAAACAAGATAGAAGTAATACATACTTTCTCCTGCATTTCCTTCGGCATCGTTTGCTTGTAAAATATATATTATTATTAAATAATATATTATTAAGTTATAAATACTGAAGTTTGCATGATATATTATGCTTGTTTGTTAGAAATTTTGTATAAACAAGCATCATGTCACTTTATTGGATACATACAATTGAAGTATTTAACAGGTTTCTGTCTAATCAGTAATTACCAACATATATTATACACAAATTTATTACTTTTTGAAGGTTTATTATTTTTATTAAACAATATTTTAATTTTCTTCAATATGAAATGTTCATGAATATGTGCTAAGTACATAATGGGTAAAAAATAGGTCTCTGTCTGGAGGATTTTCATCACTGCCCAAGAGTACATCAGTCATGTTCTCGTTTAAGACTACGAAATTTTCGATATCGATTTCATGTTCATTTTCATAATAATTTAACGGGATAATTTATAATTAGATAGAAAGATAATTTATATTTTGGTTAACAACAAAACAGTTCCTTGTTGCAAATTTTTACTACTCACCTGTCTCTGTCCTTGTCTCTTTCTCTATCTCTATCTTTATCTCGGTCTCTGTCGCTCCTACTACGATGCCGATGTCTATACTCACGTTCATCATCAGACCACCGAGTATTACTATCACTCTGTTCCACATCTTTGTAGCGGGGATATGGTAAATCCTTAGAAAAATTCGGAAAATATGTACTTAATTTACATGTAATGTAATTAAAACATTATTTTGCAAATTATACATTAATATTTTTATATTATCAAAATATAGTTCAAATCTGAGATAAGTCTCAAAGCACTTTCATATTTAACTGGATTGATTTTACTGTAAATTACTTATTTTGTTCAAAATACACAAAATTGAGATGCAGAAAATTCATCATTAGACTCCTGATCATAATGTGTTTTACCTTTTCGTTAATTTTTGTATCTTCTAATCGCTTTGTGAGCATGGGATCCAATGGTTTTTGAATTCTCACTTCTTCTAGTATCGGTGGCTTAGGAATTATAGTTGACAGCTGTGGTTTCTTTTCCATTGTCTTATTTTCAAAGAGCTCTTGACATTTTTTACCAAATGCATCATGGAAGACTTCTAGTACCTATAAGAACATATAAAAAAGGCTATTATTACTAAAAGACAGCACAGAATCATGTGATATCAGAATATTAACTGATTTTTTTATTTTATTATTAGATGAAAATAAAAGTTGATCACAAAAATTACTGACAATAAACAGAAAGAAAATCTGTCCCTTTGGACTGAATTAACATATGCCGTAAAAATATTTACTGTTTATGAAAGTAACAGTGCTCTTCTTAATTTGTAACTTCAAACACTCAGAACTAACTAACAGGATTAAATCCAATTCACCCCTGATTCCTTTTACAGATCTTACATCTAATAAAATATAATCCTGTCTAGTACCATATTTGAATATGACTTTCTTTTTTTTCCCATATGAAATTTCACATTTTATCAGAAGATAAACTTTAATTTTTGTTTCTTGGAAATTTAGTAACTGACACCCCAATTTTCAAATTTTTATAACTGTATATTTTTTTTGGTTAAGATATAGTAATTCATAAATATAAATTCTAAAATCTAAATCTAAATAAATTAATGGAAAGTTACAAAATTTCTTTAAATCCCAAACATTATTATCAAGTTACTATCTTCTAATATTTTTTTAATAACTAATCTAAACTATCATTTAGAGATTCTACAGTAAATCTACATCTTCAGAATAGTAAATATTTGCATAGAAGCAATATGGCAATAAAGGTATAAAACTGTATTTGTGATATAATTTAAACTGAAATTACAGTATTACTGATTTATAACATAAATTTTTATTATACCTGGCCCATAACAGATTTCCCATTATATTTTTCCACACACATCCTGGAGTACTTTACTTCTTGAAAAACTATTCTAGCAAATCCTAAGTGACGATTTGTTACTGGATGATAAAATATAGTTAATTCCTCAAATGGGCCAACTTTATTCATCATATCAGCTAAAAAAGCTTTATCGATATTATCATTCAAATTCCCTATTGTAATTTCAATTTGAGGAGGCGTTCCGACATAGTTTTTATCAATCTTGAACCTGAAAGCATATGTTCGTTTTATAATTCCCGCCATTATGATGCGTCAAATTTTTGTAGGTTGGTACTACAGCAAAAAGCTATTATAAAAACAAAGACATTAAAACTCAAATAGAAAACGTAAATTAAAGGAAATTCTTGTTTTTTTTTAAGTTTTTTTGTAAATTAAGAGTGAAATTTTCATTCAAGGGTTTTTTAACGAAAATTTGGCAATATAACATTATTATTGGTACTTTAAAATAAGTAGATAATAATAGTAAAGGTTATGTGATCTCTAGTTCACATTTAGTATTTGGGACACTATTAGTGAATTTCTTTAGATATTTACAATAAAAACTCGTTTTTTAGAATGTACATAATGAAAGTTTTGAGATAAAATGGAATACATACTTATATTTAAATGTAATATGTCTATGATTCAATGTTGTCTAACTTTGTTGTTGTACTTGCCTAGGTACAGGTAAATCAGCTGGTTCCAATCTGTTCCATATTCTGGATAGCTGAGACCTTGGATCTCTACTTTGAACTGGTGGATATGTAGGGTCACCAGGAACAAAACCATCATAACGATACAATTTTGTTGCTCCTTTTATAAGGAATGGATCCATAAGTAATTTATAGTTTTTAGGTGCTTTGTGAAGCACTACATTGTGACCAGGTGTTCTATGCTCCATTCCTCCATTCATTCTGGAAGATTAAACAGTAATTTATTTTGCAGTACATAACCTCAACATTTTATTTCACAGTAACATTTTATTTTATTTTTAGTATTTCTAACAGTATATACTTCCATGAAACCATATGAGAAACCCATAAGCTAAATTTATTTATCTTTTAGTGTTTCATAAGAACAAATATCAATTAAAACAAGACAAATGACATAGTAATAAGATATTGAAATTAATGTAAATCATTTCAAAATTGTGTTACAGATCATTGTTATTATACTGTTTCGATGTATTAAATTCCCCAAATGAGTTAGTAGACAAGACTGGAAATAAATTATTATTTATATTTTCCTAGGATTTATGCTCCATTACATCAAATACGGACTATAAATTTATTGTAAAATTTACTTACTTTGCTGGATTTGATAATGTTTATAGATGATATTTCATTAATTTCGCTTCAGGAAATACGAAAACCATTTTTAATAGTTTTACAATAACTCGACTATCGAAACACTCAGTTGACTACAATAAATTGTTTGCTATGAAGTATGATGTTTCTGAAATATTATTTGTTAAAGATTTGATTACAAAAATCAAATACTTCATGGGTTGAAATTCACATTTTCATGTTGGTCATTTTGACAATGTCAATGCCTCAGAAGCTGCCAGATCGAAAAAGTTTAAATTCCATAAACAAATTATAATTTTCGAAGTATGGGCATAAGCTTTCAAACGGAGATTGCATGTGGCTTTTTTTTATTACAGGTGGAAGAGCTCACGGTCCACCTCTTGTAAAATGATTACAGGAGTCAATAGATATCACAACATGAATGGCATTCCTATCTTGAACCAGCTTAAAGTCTTAAAGGTATTTTAATAGCTGTCTCACACTCCACACCTGAATTCACTAATGTAATAAGACTGCGGAAAGTATTTTAATTAAGAACCATCAAAATAGCATACAAGTTATGGTCCATCTGCTAGTGGGCATAAAATCCTCATTCATAAGCTTAGATGGCGCTGCTGTCACAAAAGTTTTAATTGAAAAAAACTCGTGATTGAGAAAAACAAATACAGACAGCGATTCAAACAAGGGAAGGATGTGACTTCCCTCAGAAATACAAATAATGCTTCTTACGAGTCACGGAACAGATTTGCAACATGATCGTTGTTTGTAGATTTCCTGTCTTTTTTATTTTGGTTGTGTAGAGGGGAGAAAGAGCTTACGACCCACCTGTGGCTACTGGAGCCCGTGGACATCAAATCTCGCACACTTAAGGCCGTTTTCCAATTACAGCACAAGAGCGCATTATACGGCATAATGCTAATTGGAAAACTACCATTAAGTAATGGTTAATTACAGAGCATAATGCGACTCGGTGACGCACAATGCCGAATTATGCTGAAGCTTAGTTGAGCATTATGCCGCATAATGCGCTCATCTGCTGTAATTGGAAAACGGCCTAAGCCTTCAAAAGCCACTTTAGCGAAACATAAGCCTCCCAAAAATTAAATCTATGTCGTAATTATATAGTCGTAATTTTTTTACACATGATACATGAAAACAAAAAGCATAAGCTTAAAATAAAGTTTATAGTAAAATAAATAAAAAATACTTCGCAAAATCATTTAAAAATTTTTTTTATTTATTTAAATCAAGTCAAGAGAATTATACTCAAATTGAAAAGACACATTGTATGCAACTCTCACAGAGCAGCAACTAATCATTTTATCAATACCAATTAACAATTTAGCATGAATCAAAAGGGACAATTGTTTGTATCGTTTCATCACTTGTTTTGGTTGTTTCAAAAAGTATATTAAAGCCTCAGTAAATACCCACAATTTTACTATATAGTCACCATATAGTTAATTAGTCATAGCATTAAATGGATAACATTTTTCTCGTCTATTTTTCAATTATCAGAACATATAAATAATAAGTTTGTATGGTGTGATCCTTTCGTCTTTCGTGTTGGATAAATAGAACTACTAATGTAAAAACTATGGCTTAAAAGACAAGAATCAAGAGTATAATCTATGATCAAGACCACAGATTACACACTTAATATTTGATCAAGACCTTTTAAAAAAATCGCGGCTGTTGCGTCATCGTAAAGGGTAATATTCATATTTTACTCAAAAAATATATACAAAAAAAACAAACTGTATAAATCAAGTATCGCTTACTAAAAAATAGTATAAGAGAGCATAATATAGTGTTTCTTTTTAGGCAAAATGTCTGACAAATTCGTTCCCGTGGTTAAGGCAGAGGAAGCAGAGGAGGAGGAGTTGGTGGATCCGCAGCAGTCTCTTAGGGTAGGAGAACAAATTCTTATACTTACAAGGCCCTTATAAAATACTGAATCTATCGCAGAAAATGTTTGTTTTGAGGTTACATCTAGTTCTGTCAAAAGACCTATGTCTGTAAGGGAAATAGACGAAAAATAAGTTAGGCAAATAAAAAGATTATATAAGTAATCAAAATAAAAATGAATTACACATTTGTATTTATTTACCTCCATAATGGTGAATAAGCACACAACAATCTGCTTAACAACATTATCACAAAACCACATCACAAAAAATTACAATTATTTTGTTCAATCCTAACAAGGTCTGTCGCTAAAGAAAGATCTTGTAAACTTGCTTAATGACTTGAAGGTAGTGGAAGGATAGAATGTTCAATATTTAAAAAAAAAACTACATTCCTTCGGACTCAATTGACCATTAAACTCTAGTTGAGAGAAAGCATTTTGAAATTGACATTTCAATAAAGTTTATTAACAGTTGTTTCATTTCTAGAAGTCTTAAAATTTAAATCTTCAATTAGAACCAGATAGAAACCTAATATAATATGAATGAGAATGAAATTAAGAGTTAGGTTAAAAAAGGTTAAAAAAATAAAAATGTGTGCGTGTACTAGTGTACACACGTAAGAAGTGAAACTTGTTTATGGCCTTATTTTTCGAAAAATGATCTACATGCAACTTTCTAGAAATTGGTTAAATAAAGTTAAATTAGATAAAGTTTAAACAAAAGGATTTTATTATCATAGACATGAATACAAATAATACAATTATTTCACTTTACCTTTTTGCTACTAAGATTATTACAGCATTTTAATAATACATCTCTTTGATATCATAATACCCTGGTACTTTTCTTCCTATAAATTAATAATAATAGCACGGTCCACGTGGTGTTAAATGGGGTTCCTGAGGTTCGTGAAGTTTGACCCACCTTGAGACATGAGGTCGATTTCTCAAATCCGAAACCATGCTTCAGAACATACCGCCGTTAATTATTAATAAATCTCTTTGCTATCATAATACCCTGGTACTTTTCTTCCTATTATTTTACGTAATAACAGTAATAAATAGCACGGTCCACGTGATATTATTAAGTGGGCTCCCTGAGATTATTGGAATTACAAAATGATTTCCGTAATCCACCTGGAGACATGAGGTCAATTTCTCAAATCGGAATCCATACTTCAGAACATACAGCCGTTAATTAATAAAGAAGGCTGTACGTCAGAGTAAAGTTATAATAATACATCTCTTTGATATCATAATACCCTGGTACTTTTCTTCCTATTATTTTACGTAATAACAATAATAGCACGGTCCACGTGATATTAAGTGGGTTACCTGGGATTATTGCAATTACAAAATGTATTCCGTGACCCACCTTGAGATATGAGGTCGGTTTCTCAAATGCGCATCCATACTTCAGAACATACAGCCGTTAATTAAAAGATGGCGCGTAACGGAAAAATGTGACGCGTAACCGAAAAATGTGACGGTAAATTTTTTTCCAACGCCGATAAGGAAGTTTCACTTCAAAAAAATAATTAAATTCATAGTTCCTCATGTATCATTTCAATTATAGATTAAACTTGTTAATTTTATTTAATTTTTTACTGCTGTAGAAAATTATTGGTCATAAAAATATATTATTTAATTATTTACATCATTACAATAGTGAAAACACACTTAAAATATTCACTTCTGGTTTATACAACATCAAAGCTACCTATGTAAAATTTCCCTATTGGTGCAGTTACAATCTAATATTTAAAAAACTTACGACTTTCAAATTCAAGTTGAGTTTATACAGACACAAACTCTTTATAGCCAGTAGAAAAAAATCACATGTAACCTTTATGTCATATGGATAAGGGGAGAATCTAAAAAAGAAATTTGGCTAATTTGTAATTAACATTTATATAATAATATTTTACTATGGAACTTCTAGGATCCATTTTTGTTGTGCAAAAGAAATAGTGGGAAAGGAACAGCAGAAGTTTTACAAGAAAAGAGTTTGTAACAAGAACTCTAACATTTATTCTTTAATTCATTTATGTTCCATTTCATAATGTGAATGGATGACAAAAAATAAGTTAGTAAATAATGTTGAATTACAATTATTATTTAATTTTAACAGAATTGACATTGTGTAGGTCACTGTTGGGTGCCCTATTTTATACTGAAGTAATTATGTAGATTTTTGTTACTATACGCCTGGATTACCCAACTCTGCCTTTTTTGGTTTGTTAATGTGTGTTTTAGGCTTTTAGATCTCTTAGGTCTTTTAGAATCAGATTAATTTTCAGCATGTTCGGATTCATCTTTTCTAGAGTACTAGATATTCTGGCACTTTGCTAAGAAGATCGGAGAGAAAAGTCAACATAATTACTTCAGTCCATCATGTAGGGCACCGGTGACCTATATGCCAGTCATTGTGTTTGTAAATGAGGTTTTGGTTGTATTGAAAAGAAAAAAAAATGTAAAATTTAATCAACCACTTGTGCAGATTTGCACCTGTGTTTGCACCTTGGTATAGTGGTTCAGATAGATTCATGTCCAAAAGCAATAGATTTGGCACAGCTGTATGGCATATGTATGTATGCATTTAATTTTCCATTCACTATATTTACTACTACTGTATTGTACTTACATATTATTTCTCTTGAGAAGTGAGACATTGCTCAGAAGTTGCAAGTAGCTGTTTATTAGTAAAGCAATGTAAAATACAGACTTCTAATTTATAATAGATATTTGACACCATCTAGTTAAGGTAGTTTATACTAATATTCTTTTAAAATGTAATTACTTTGAGTTGTTAGAAGAATAAAGGGAGAGTTTGGAATTTTCATTAATTATAATATTTTTGTATTTTAGGAAGAGTGTTCCCAAAAGCCTGATGCCCAAAACATGTGGGCTAAATATCAAGAGTGCAATGATCGTGTAAACTCCAGATCTAAAACTGCAGAAACCTGTGAAGAAGAACTCATTGACTATGTCCATGTTCTTGACAAATGCGTCACCAAGGACTTGTTTAAGAGGCTAAAGTAATGAATTGAAAATTTAAATCTTAATTTCAAGATCATAGAAGCCGCATCCGTAATTTTAATGGGCCTGTAGTTTTAGTAAATTTATTTATGTACAAAATGTGAGAATCACCAATGTTGTTACTGTTAATTTGTAAATACAAATAATTACCTGTCACTAGTCTTTCTTATTCTTTTATTTTATGTATTTATTTAATTTTCATATTTGCAATTTATGACACTACGTTGTGGTCGTCTGGTAAAGGTATTGAACGCTGATATAGCCTCTCAAGGCTATCAGCTTAGGTAGGAAAAAAAAAAAAAAGGTGTTGAAATTGTAAATATTTTGTACTCTTAAATTGGGACAATTCTAGTTAGGTTTCATAATATACATGGTAATTTATTAATGGGTTTCAATCGTTGTCAGATTGAAACAAAGACAGAACTAACTACCTATGGTATCTGAAACTAGGTAAATATAATGTAAGTAAATTTGCAAATTTTAAAATATCAGGTCACATATATCTAATGCTTAAATACTAAAAATGGGTCTCAAATACATTATCTATTGCTTAGGTGGATGAACGAGCTCACGGCCCACCTGATGTTAAGTGGTTAACTGAGCCCATAGACATTTTCAACGTAAATGCCGCCACCTTCGTTGAGACAAGAGTTCTAAGGTCTCCTTTTTTTACATTACGAGTGCCCCACCCTTGCATTAGTACTGCACGGTAGAAATAGGCAGTATGGTGATATCTACCCGTGCGGACTCACAAAACGTCCTACCACCAGTAATTATGAAAATTCTAATTTTGTGGGTTTTATTTTTATTACACGATGTTATTCCTTCACCGAGGTAGTCAATCGTGAACATTCGTTAAGTACGAATCCCGCCTGCTGGATTCGAACATCGTTGCATCGCTCGACACAAATGCTTCGGGCTTCTTATCCTTTAGACCGCGACGACTTCAAGATGCTTACATATTGTAGTCATAGCTACTGACTCACTAAGCTTGTATTCGCTGGTACCTTGAAGGGCCATTCCAAATTTTCGCGGACGGGTAAAATTCGTGAGAACGAAACAACGACAATACAAACAATGATGTCCCCACAATTATTTTTATAATAGTTGCTGCGACATACCAAGGAGTGGCTTCATCTGGTGATCAGCAGTAGATCAATAGCAATGTAAACATTAAAAACATTTTTTAACCTAAGTTGCTTCTGGGAGGATCTCGTAATATTTTAGGTTCCATATCCACATAAACCAACAAACGCACAAATTTAGGTACCTACTATGGAAAAAGTTAGCTAATTTATTTCCATAAGCATAATGTTGGGGTAGGATATTTCAATTATTACAGGGTCATGTGATCTTTAAAGATTTAATTAAAACAAAATAAATGTGATTACAATGTTTTATATTAGCAGTATTATATAAAATTTTCAAAGAAAAATATAAAGAGCTTCATAGAATTTAAAAGCTTTGGAATATCACAAAACACAGTAGATCTGAAAAGAAATTGCACTTTACCTTCTATCGAACTTAAGTACCTAAGTCAAAAGCTCTCATAGCCAAGTATGTATATATTTTTTTGTTTTACATTTAAAATCTTTGAGAATTTGAATGAAATTTTATGATCGACTGAAGTTACTCCAAGAACTAAAAAGAATCCATCGTAATATTAAGAAAAGTAACCTAGTAAGAGAAAAACAAAAATGTACCTACATATAGTAATGTCTTTTTATACGGAAATTTCAATATGAAGCGATTTCAGACTGGTGTATTTTTATAATGAAATAATTCGAGGCACTACGTTACACTCAGCCGTAAATCTAATGGACGCTTAGTTACGAGTATAATTTTTAAATTAATTTCAAAGTTTAAAATTGTGACTTCAAATCAAGTAAAACTAGTCAAATACATTATAATATCAGTATGAAGAATACTAAAATTATAAACACATACATACATGGGTGATTTCTTAAAATAAAATTCCGCAAATTATAATTATCGTTGACATTTAATTAATAATATTTTTCAAAGGTTGTTTGGTCTGCAGTTTACTATCAGCCTCGTTTATTTTACGTTAATAACATTTAAAAATCTATTCAAAAGCTAAAATAACAAAATTTAAGCAAATAGTAGTTTAGTTACTATTTACCTTGGAAATGTTGATAAATATAGTTTTCACAACTTAGCCATATACTCTCTTCATATAATAATGACCTTTATATATTATTACGTTTAACATAAAACACTTACTGTAAGGACGAACAAAACTTATAAAACCTACCTAATAATTGACGGAGACCAAAAAAATCGGGACCTCAGAGAATTGGAAGAGACGTATACGGCTAACGTTAAAAACGAATTCTTCAACGTGTTATCACAAAAATCGTATCAAAAGCAAATATCACATCGTGTGGTCCGGCCGCGCCCCCTAACTGGCCCCGACCTGCAGAACGTTGAAGCAGATCTCGCAGACTCGCTGCGGATTGTTCATTCCGAACTTTACTATTGGAATGTCTTGATTCGAACATTTCCTGCAGAGTTGCCTGCCGCAATGTCGACTGAAAATAATTTAAGTATTTATCCTTTTTTTTTCTACGCATGCTGTTTTTTTTTCCTGCTTAGATGGGTGGACGAGCTCACAGCCCACCTGGTGTTAAGTGGTTACTAGAGCCCATAGACATATACGACGTAAATGCGCCACCCACCTTGAGATAAGTTCTAAAGTACAACGGCTGCCCCACCCTTCAAACCGAAACGCTTTACTGTTTCGCGGCAGAAACAGGCGGGGTGGTGGTACCTACCCGTGCGGACTCACAAGAGGTCCTACCACCAGTAAAATAGCGTTGAGAGGCTATTTCAGCTTCGCCTTAACGTGTAGGTGAGGTCACGGAGCTCAAACCGGAAGATTGTTATCCCAATGTGTATCGCAGACGATTTCGTTGCTTCTCTACGTTGAGACATGAAATTCAAGTTTGAATTTATGACTGTTCGGCTCTTCATAGAAAAGCGCACGAGAGACAGTTCACAACACGTGCTAGGTAACTAGTAAAATAAATACCTAAACGTCGGACATTGTTCGAGTTGGATACATATTTAATTAGTAAATTTGGTAAATTCTTCTAAAGCCTAAACTTGATCATAGTAGTTACACCGGGCTTCATTGCTTATTTAACATTGGAAGGGTCGTGAGCTCACAGCCTACGTTGACAAAGGAATGAATCTTCAGCTCTAACACCAGGAGCAGGCTTAGGGACCCCGGTAACGTAACCCATGCATCAGCTCGCTGAGTTTCTCGTCGGATCTTCTCAGCGGATTCTGATCCGGTAGTAGATTCATTCTCGAAGCAGCTGCTGTTGAATTGTTAGGTCTCCTTCGGAGGCGCTCGGGCGGCTGTTAGCAAATCCCACCCCTCTTGACTGAGCCTTTGCTCGCCCACCTTTCCTGGTGAAACTGGAAAGGCCTCCGGGCCGCCAGTAATCGTTCAATACTAAAAAAAAGAGAATGTATTATAAGAAAATTGTAAGAGAAGCTTACCAGTGATGTTTCCTCATAGTTATAGTGAACTTGGTCCCGCACTCCTGGCACAGCTCGCTGTCGGCCCACGGCGCCTCGTTGGGGAGCGAGTCCAGCAGCCGGTGCAGCAGCTGCTTTGTTGCTACCTGTTAATGATTGCAGCTTACTGGTGGTAGGACCTCTTGTGAGTCCGCACGGGTAGGTACCACCACCCTGCCTATTTCTATCGTGAAGCAGTAATGCGTTTCGGTTTGAAGGGTGGGGTAGCCGTTGTAACTATACTGAGAACTTAGAACTTATATCTCAAGGTGGGTGGCGCATTTACGTTATAGATGTCTATGGGCTCCAGTAATCACTTAACACTAGGTGGGCTATGAACTCGTCCAACCATATAAGCAACAAAAAAAAACGCTAATTAAAATCCATACCCGCTTTATAAAAATACTTTGCTGCTCAATACGTCACTCACTCAAAAAACTACATATTTTTTATTGCCCCTATAGGCCGACGAGCACACGGTTCACCTGATGGTGAGTGGTTACCGTCTTCCATGGACGTCAGCAATACCAGGGGCAGAGCCAAGCCGCTGCCTACCGTTAAACCTACATTACACACAAACTCGTCTAGCTTTATTTGTTGTCTCTAATTGAAGTTTTGCTTATGTAGTTCAACTGTTAACCGCCGACTTTGGCCGCGAGGCAGTAGGGCTGACAGCCGCACGGGATTACACAGTACAATTGAAACTTCTCAGACACATCTCAGGGCTGGCACCATTCACATCGTAATGTCCTTCTGTAACCACTTTACATTCATACTGTTGGTTATATTTTATTTCGATCTATAATTTTTCTCTTACTTCACGCTCTCTTATCCGATGGCCTTGGGGAGTCTAACGGTTAGTGATCCTAGACCAAGGGTTCCCAAACTTTTGTCTAGTGCCCACTTTGGGAATAAATTCTTTTTTAGCGCCCTCATTTTTTCACCTACTTAAAATCCTCTATAGCGAGAGTTCAGTCGATGTTTAAGGGTCCATGAAATTACAAATCGCCTCCCAAACCTCTACAAAACGCCCCCTTTTTTTCTGGGCCTCTTACCGCCCCGCTTGAGGCCTGCAGCGCTCACAAGGGGGCGTTATCGTCCACTTTGGACAAGGCTGTCCTAGGCTATGGGTCTAGTCATTAGATTCCCAACCGGTAGTCAATTTCATTGCTAAAGATTGTTATTCAGGATCTGGATGTACTTATTCGTGTTTCATACGTCTATTTTTCTAATACGTAACGTAATATAGCACAGGCGAAAATTCATCTTTCACACAATCACGCAATCTCTTCTCGTATCAACCTGCACCCGAACCGATATATTAGTGAGTTATGATTAACCTGATAGTTGAATATGGATATCCCCTCCTTGTTCTCCTGGGCGAGACAAGCGCCGGCTTTGACGAGGACGCGGCACATCGCACCTTGACCGTTCATATAAGCGAGGAGTAGAGGTGAATTGCCCTGCATCACGAATATTATATATTACTAGCTGTACCCGTCCGGTTCGCTGGCCCTTTAAAATTAACATTATTATTTCTCACGCCCACAAAGATTCTCATCATTAACGCCCCCGCAACTGGTGTAGGGAGTCCAACGCTCATATAAATATTAGCC